ACCCAGTGTCTATCTGTCAAATATACTTGTGACTAGCCCTCTGCCTCTCACAGCCATCCCGGCGATAGTCTAAATGTCAGTGTTTTCCGGGCTCCTAATGTGTTCCCAAAATAGTATCTCCATCTCTGAGCCTCCGTGAAAAGCCACGCTCCAGAAAAAGCGTAGTGAGTCTGACTCACAGCAGAGGCAGCAGAAACACCATGCCATCCCAAAGCCAATTAAACATGCATGGGGGTGTATGTGACCTCAAAAGAAAAAAAAAAAAAGCCAGTAGATTGATGGCCACTCTCACCCTCATCTTTCCCACTCCATAGCTCACTCTCTGTCACTCTTTTGCTGCTATTGCTCCTTTGTTTTATCTTTTAGCCAATTAGAGTGAATTATTCAGGGTGGCCTGTATGTATCTGTTAAGTGTTTTTCTTCCAATGAGTACTCTCACGGAAAATTGAGGTGAGGAGACGATGAGCAAGAGTGCATATTCTGCAGCACACAGGCTGGGCAGTGCAAGCAGATGAGCTGGTAAAGACATGGCTATGCATACACACACTAGCATACACACACACATGTAGGTCAGTGGAGGAACCCCTGTGCATTTTGATGTGTTTTCAGAGGTCAGGGCAAGGCTAGCCATTCAGAAGCTAATATGGCTTGGAGAAAGACTAATTAGCTTTCTCTCACAGCGAGCTTCTAATCAACTAAGGAATGACCAGATAGTGATGGATTGAATTCTGAGCCAATACAATTAAAATTGTGTAATTTAATACAATAAATTCCACTGACAGGTATACTAGATTGTGAGGTCATGTGTTTCATTCGAGTCTATTCTATTAGAACCTAAACTGGATACCAGAATGGCCGGTAAATATGCCTCTTGTGCTTTATAATGCTCAACAGTGCAGAAGAAGGAAATGGGATGGAAATTTAGAAATGTCATACTGTATATGGGCTGATTTTCTGCATTTAATCAAATTCTAACTCAGCCTTAAATGTCATAGCTGCCTTAATTAACAGAGACCACAATGTAATATCACTTTCACAATGGGGGCTGCTTGATACCATGCCATTCATTCACATTCATGGCTAACACTGGATTCCACTTGCATAGCAGGCTGCATCCATCACAAAGTGGGACAGACTCACTGGGAGAAAAGAGCACACTGATCAGCTTTAAAGCCAAGTAATCAATCAACCTTTGAAACTTTAAACAAATTAAAAACTTCTCTATGACATGAGTAAGCTCCATTCGCTGATGCACAGGGGGAAAAAACGGTGAGTGGACCTTGAGCTATTTTTCAAAATCTGTATTTTGATTACAGTAATCAAATACAATAATATAATCTACATAATTCTGACTCATTCCGGTCTCTTAATATGAAATATCTATACATCTCAACTACATTACATTTCAGGGACATTTATTGTTACCACACATTTGTTCTTATACTGTTTTTGACTCATGACTATAATACACATTTTTAATATCACAGTCCTTGTAAAAACTGACTTTCACAGAGGAGTCCTGTGTGACACCAAAAAAGTGAATGTCTGACACTTCAATGACAAACACTTGTTTTAAACAAAATCCCGATCCTTTACCAACTCATGTCAAGTAAATGTGTTGTCTAACATAACCAAGTAAGTTTGTTTTGTTTCAGTTTGCAACATTACCACATATTTATACTTTGACTGTGAGAAAATATACTTCCCTCAAAGCATAATTGAAAACCAAGTTTGTATGGGGAAATCATTTTGTAGGAAACAGGGGTTGTCTGGCATGCTGGAGTTGAATTTATACATTCAAATTCCTCAGCATTGTCTAAATAATTGCTAGAACATCTCTGAACATTCTCAGAACTATTTTAAGCAATGAGCGCCTTTCCAGGAAGGATTTGTTACTGTGCACTTCTTGCTCTGTTTAGCTTTTTGAAGTTCCTGCATTATAGGTTCCACATTTAGATTCCCTCAGCTTGCCACAATCATTAATAAATCATGTACAATAAACAGATTGATCCTTTTAGTTTATACCCCTGCTCATCCTCGCAGTCTGCCTTTGGTTCGTGAGCTGAGTGTGAGAGACATGTCACCTTGTAAGACTTTCTGAATTCCTTCCCTTGAAGGAGGGAAACAGAGCAAGCGGCAAGATAACACAGCCAGGCAGCACTAACCGATCAGAGCACTCCTGCAGAGATATGACCCACATAGACCGATGCTCGTTCAATCAGCCTGCGACTGGCAGCGTGGCGGGGAAAGAGAGAGAGGGAGTAAGGAAGGGACAGGGGGAGTGCAAGCTTTAGGTGGCTCCAGTTAGTTTTAATATCTTAAACAGAGGTGGGAAGTAGTGGAGTACAAATACTTCATTACTGTACTTAAGTACATTTTTCTGGTATTGGTACTTTACTCCACTACTTATTTTTCTGACAACTTTTTACTTTGACTTCTTACATTTTTAACACAAATACCTGTACTTTCTACTTCTTACATTTTCAAAACAGGTTTGTTACTTTAGTTTTAATCTGTGTTTGGTGGCGTGATCATTATTATTTAGAGTCATTGCGTGCCTATTGATTTGAACACGATCCGTGTATCCATCATTTCCTGGTCTTCTTTAAACAAGAGGGACCAATGAACATTTTGTCATTTTGCCGTTGTTCTGCATCGAAACATTCATTAGCTAACAATGACATTATTGTTCTATTAATATAAAGGGAGGTCGGTTACTCTTTAAAACAGTTGGTAGTTATGGGTACTTTTTACTTAAGTGCATTTCGAAGCCCATACTTCTTTACTTTTACTTGAGTAAAGAAGTTTAGTCAGTACTTCTACTTTTACCAGAGTATTTTTTAAAACGAGTATCTATACTTCTACTTGAGTAAAGGATGTGTCTACTTTTGACATCTCTGAACTTAAAGGAGTCAAAACTTGTTGGTAGTTCTAAGAAAAACCACCTATGTGCAACCAAGTTATTTACATATTGACTAACTACAAACCATTTGGCCTGTAAATACTGCTAGACACATGTACTGCTGTTTGAAGCAAACATGTCAGATGTAACCATGGTTTTCCCAGTCCTGCAGGACACTACGGTGTAGAGGGGCGTAGTGGCTGCCAAAGGTCTCGCTCAAATGAGTGGAAAAGGTAACCAGGCATCCCACATCTGGGATTTACCACAGTCCACCCAGGGAAACATTAAGAATGGTTATTGCTGGGCAACGCTAAGCACTTGCTCCCATAGGAGGTGCCTACCGCTACAGTACATTAAGCAGGTATAGTGCTGTGTAAACGTTGAGGGGATAGTCCGAGGAAAAAAGAGGTACATGGAAGAGTGTACCTTCGCTACAATGCCCACAACACCAAGGATAGAATGCGCCCTAACCAATCATGGTTGTGTTACATCCAATGGGGAGGCCGTGACAATAATACTTTTAACAAAGACAAATAAAATGTTCTGATATCTTTGAAGTACAGAATCGACTTTCAGAGCACTGAAAGGACGGACTGCAAATTTGGTTGCAGGACTACATCCTGTACTTTTAGGCACCAGTCTGCATCAGTCTTAGTTGAAAGTCAGCTGTTACATTTTTAGCCAGCATTTCCTTGGTGTGTCTTAAAATCCTGAAAAAAAACAAAGGATAAAAGTGGCTGAGCCAGTGAGACAATGTGTCTACTCTACTAGTTACTGCAACATGACTTGGAAACTTTCATTTATTTTTGCAGATGAATGTCACTGATGGTGCCCAAGGACTGTGCAATGTCTCCACCTCCACCTAGCCACCACTCAGAGGGTAGGCACAACATCTGAGTTCAACTTGCTCCATATCAGTAATAATAAGTCTTGCCAAGCTAGGGAGCCCCAGGTGGTTTCAGGCTTTCTCAGGATGACTGAGAACCATGTGTTGTCAATACAGAGCTCACCTTCTCTCTCTGCAGGTAGAGAAAGAAAGGCATACAGCCGAGACTGAGGCTATTGACGGGATCTAGCTCGCTTTGGAATGCGAGTGGAGTGGTTCCCTTAGGGCTGTCAATGGTCTGTCCTTCCACTCTCCCGAGTAAAGACCTTCCTTGGACAGCTGTTTTGTCCCTTCACATGGACTCTCCTTGGGTGTACAAAGGAATCCATTGCCATTGTGCAGAAGCAGGGGAAACCTAAACTACCATGCCTTTTTATGCGAGATGCTGCAACCATGCCTTGCAGACATATACATAATATGTATAGAGCACATCTGCTGGGATTTTGAGCTAAAGTGTTTGCACTATACCTGACTTTCTTTAGGTGACTGGAATAATAAACAGAGATTATACCTACAGTATAGCATAACACACGTTCTATGCAAATGCGATTCACAGGTGAATAAACGGAATCTTGTGATACCCTTTTCTAGCATCTTGTTGTTCATCATGGTATATATTACATTATATATTACATGCAGGGGACATTGTTTCATAGAGAGATCTTGAAGCAGGTATTCGACCTATGTAAAGGCTGCCCTCTAACACAAACATACGTCTATTACAACAACCTGTTCTCATATCCTCAGGTGACCAGGGAAGGTTAAGCGCACAGGTGCTTTTATGTTGTGCGTCACCACTGCACAGGTGGTTTGTCTGGAAGTAATTATTCTCATCTCATGATCCTCGGGGGTCAGTCCTACTTACATACATTAACTGAATCGAGAGGAGCATGCGAAATGTAGTTGTACCTGAGTAAAATGACAATAACAATCTTCTGATCCTAATTGAATATATAAAAAGATGGAAAGCTAGTCTTAGTGCAATGGAGAACTCTGTAAACCTTTGACTGTCTTATACATGCAACCAAGACAATAAAAGCTTTCACATAATAACAAGTGTTAGCATACCTACAATATATAATGACATTTCTTATTTACTAGAAATTAAATGTGAAGTGAAAGTACACTGTTGGTTTTCCCTCTTTGTTTCATTTAATTTTGATGTAATGACTGAGAACACTCAAGAGGCGGAAAACCGCAAAGCTATGTCAGTAATTTATTTGTTGGCAAACAACTTTCACTGTTACAACAAATATTAGTTATGAGATCATTCAACTTGGAACCCATACAAAAAGAATAAATAATTATCAATAATATTGTAATAATAGTCATGATCATAATAATTTAAAAAAAGAACCATGAAACAAACCCAGTGCCATCATATTTACTCCTGCCTAAAGCCAGCTTTCTTCCTCCAAGCTTGTTTTGCTGTCTTCAAACCAATAAACAGATAAATAAATAATTTCTCTCTTGGGGACATGGCGGGGGCTTGTGGGATACATGTGCAAGCTACACTTCATACACTTATGATTTTTTCTCTCCTAAATAAGTAAACATTGGCTTTCCACATTGGACAGTGCTGCTGTGTGCAGAGTTTTCATATCTTCAGTACACATATATCGTGTAATCATGTCATTTCACAGAGACCCACTCTGTTTCAAATAGTCTAAAGTCTCTTTTTTTTCTTTAGAGAATGACATTTTTTATTCCCAGCATTCTTTATCTGTACAATCTCAACCAGCACAGCAAAGCAATGTTAATAGAGAGGGTATGCTTAATAACGCATTCTTGTGTTGCTCCAAATATCTGATATCTTTGTAAAATAAATCCACTCTCGTTCACGCTTGTGCCTTAAGGAAGGAAACGCTTTATTCAAGAACAAATGAGATGAGACCCACTTCCAGCAAAGACTAAATGGTAGAATTACCATAGCAACCATCTCTATCATAAATTAGCCACTTCCTTTACCCTTTACTTTAGAATCTACACAGTGGTAAAGTATATAGTAACAATTGATTTGCAAAATGTAGGTGACAGTGGTGTTTCTATAAAAAGGTCCGGAATGAAGTGTGTGTAGGGTATATGCGTAGTATAATTAAGAAGTGCTTAACGCTGTATTTACCAACAAATTACAGATCGATTGTTCCTTGTTTGTTCTGTCAATTACACGTGACCAGAACTCATCATGACATTTCAGAACAGTTCCACAGACAAAAGGTTTGCAACTTAAAAATGTAAAAAATAAAAGACTTGGTCATATGCAACAATGTATCTGTATTTGTATTCTGTACAATACATAGAAACAGTTTGTGATTTCTTTATAATCCTTTGATAACTGAAAACTTTTACAGAAGAAAGGAGGAGAAACAGAACCCATTCTTTTTTTTTTTTAGTTCAGTCTGTTGTTATATGATCTCCCTTCTTTGTTTTCAGTGAAATACACAGTAGCCGCAGTCACTACAACTCGCAGGAATGTTACACCAGCCCAGACACAACTCCAGTTTAGCAGATACGAACAGGAAGAGAGTTCAGAACATCAGCGTGATATGATTACAGTTCGGTTGCCCAATAAAATAGTTTTTGGGATGTTTTGGTAGAGAGGGCATTTATCGTACATCCTCCACTTGATTGGCAGATAGTGGGGCGGGGCCTATGTAAGGCCAGTTTATGTTGTGAACAACGGAGTTCAATATCCTGCTCTACCCTTTGAAAAGGTGCAAACGTCATCCCAGTACATGTCTTTAAGCGTGAGACGGACATACAGATACTCAGACAGGCAGCTCCTTTGACCAGGGCTGGATGGCCACGCCCCTGTTGCCATGGTAGTGGAGACTCTATGCTATGATCTGCTAGAGGTTCATATTGGGGAACTTCAATCCAAGATTTCATATTAAAGTAACAGGTAGGGTGAAATTACAGGATCCCTCCCCCTTCCTCTCTTTTCCAGGTAAAGTCTCTCCGAACCACCCTCTCGCTCTGCACCATTTGTGACGATACATTCAGTCCCTGCCTTCATTTGACCAGCCAATTCTTAACCATGTCGTCATGAACTATAGTCAATGTCACAAATAGTACATCAATCCAGGGGTGGGCCAGCTCAGTCTGTCGATCAACAACACAAAATGTTTTCATTGGAAGGTTGGAAGTGTGAGAATGGGCTGTGGAGGGATAGAAGTCTCTTTATTGGCTCTATAGACTGGTTACCAGGTGGGAAGGGTCTACAGGCGGCTCCTCAGGCGACGAATCGGACTCCTCCTTGCTGCCGGACACCATGTATCCATCGCTGCCACCACGGCCCATGTGGTAGTAGCTCTGCAGGTCGTGAAGTTGATTCCTGGAGCCCAAGTTTGGCATGCTCTTATAATAGACGTCATCTAGCTCCGGAGCAGTGGCACTCTTACAGGGCTGCAGCTCCCCGGAGCTGTCTTCCTCTCCGTCTGTTAAACCGTTCATCTGTCCATCCGGAAGGTCCGTCAGCACAGGCATGCTGGTGTACAGTGAGTCTCTGTGGCTGGGCGAATGTGTGTGTTCGTCAGTGTGCTCGTTGGTCAGCAGGGGGAAAAAGCTCTCGCTGGTCTCCTGGGGAATGCGCCGTGGCCGAGAGAAGCTGTGCGGGGGAGGCGGAGGAGGGGGGTGGCTGTCTGGTGGAGGAGGACGTGGCGGCAGGAGTGGAGCGTTGGACTCCTCTCTAATGATCTCCAAACCCAGATTCTCCTCGTGGGGGAAGGCTGCAGGGTTGTCCAGCACCATGGGACAATTGTCCTCTTTACCGCTGCCCACACATCCTCCAACGCCACTGCTGCTGCTGCTGCTGCTGCCTCCTGCCATGCTCCCTGGAAGACCAGAGCAGGGAGACCAGTTAAAGCATATTCTCTGACATTTAAACAAAAGCGTTCCTATAGCTAGTATGATGATTTAAAAAAAATAAAAATAATAATAATTCTTTATTTGGGGTCACATTATATTAAAAATACAGTTTTGCGAATCATATTTCTTTAGAGACCCGAAAAATGGCAAATTAAATACGGAACAAAATTTGTAAAATAAAATAAAAACGAAAATGTACATAGGGGTAGTTTGAAATGACAAATATCTACAAATGTACACATGTATCTACTTAAACACATACACATATATATATATATATTACACACACATCCACATACATATATACACATATATATGTACAAACATGTACGTACACATACATACACATACATAGACACATACACCTTTATATGCATACATACACACATACCTATATACATCCACATACATACATATACACATACACAGTATGATGATTTTAGCATCTGATAGTGGAGATCTATTAGTAAGCCAGTCAGAAAGTTGACTGGTTGTGTCTATAACCTTTTTATATTAACAACGGATTAAATGTACCATGTGTATGTGTGAAAAAAGTTGCTTACACAAACCAACAGAAAATCTTCCCCTTGGCTTCACAAAGGATTTCAGCATCATTAATTGATCGCATTGTTTTTGTTTCCCAGCCTGCAACTTTACTGTTTTGGTTCAGCTCAGCGCTCTCATCAGCCTTGTTTTCAGTAGCAGCAGGCAGCTGTTACCAAATCACTGCAGCTACCTGCCAGGAGCGTACGGCAGACAGGCACATTTAGCAACTAGCTGGTGAACATATCGGAGCATTTGGAAGCTTAAGAGACTGATATATCCTTACGGGTTTATGAAGATCAGGTAAAAGAAGGGGTAATATTGGACTTGCCAGAACACAACTCTGTCTGGTAGATTGTTGAAAGGTGACTGTATGCTACCATGTTGAAAAGTGATAATAGGCCATTATAAAGCTCTTTCTAATAAGTTAGGCACAATAGTGTTCATGAACCAAAATAAGTTAAGTGCTTTACAATAGTGTCCCTGTCTAGAAAAAAACAATGTCTGTGACGATCTTAACCTGAAATAACTTAAATCAAACCAGTCACCTCCATTGGCCATGCTGCTGTTGACCAGCTTGTTCATCAGGTTGTGGTTGCGTTCGGTGGTCGCTCTCTCATGGTTGTTGAGGTAGGAGGGGATGTAATTGGAGGTCAGCTCCTTGAGGATCTTCTTCTCCAGGGTCGTCTCCTTATGATTGCCGTGGGTGCCGTAGCCGCCACTACGGTCCAAGATCTGGACGCAGTCGCTCAGGTACTCGCTGCTGGCCATGCTGTAGTTGTTGGCATGGTTACCATTAAGAGGGAGTGTATCCATTACACTGGAGTCTCTTGCGTTGTTCAGGATGCCCTCTGAAAAACAAATAAGGAATAATAACAGTCATAATTATTAGGAGTCCTGAATAAACCATCATAGAATATGCTATGAATTGAGGATTAAAGGTAATTATGTTAATTCCTTGGATACAAACATTTTTACTCAATTAATTAAAGGAACCTCAGAAGTTTGTTCTGATCTCACTACAGCCAGCACTATAGCAATACATTAAAAATAGTTAGAATTCCACTGCAAAATAAGTAAGTTATATCAATGTAAAATGTGTTATGCGACATTTACATTACATTGTGACTTATTGTTGAGGGCATAAGTATTGCATTTTAATGAGGATTTAAACTAAAATGTGCACATTTGATTAACACTACATATAATCAATAATAAAGCTTGTTTGTTTTACTACTATACATAAAATGCCTTCAAGAAAATAGCATTTCTGGGAAAGGAGTCCAAAACTGTGTGAGAAATAAAATCAGAAAACCTTATAACACGGATTGACTAATTATTTGGGCGAGGAAAGTAGCAAACAAAACTATAATTTGGGTGAAGATTGAACCGGAGAGTTTAAAAAACCAAGGAAAGAGAGAAGAAACTCATATGTTACTGAAGAAGTTGAGTATTAATTTAGCCCATACTTGTGTCTCGGTACGGTGCTAATGGACAGCATGAGGGAGAAGAGAGAAAACAGAAAGACGTGAGTTCAAACATCGAGAGAAACAACTTTCAGGGGCAGAAAATCTACGGTTGGACAGTAATTGGAGGAAAATCTTACAAAGAAACCATCTCTGATACTCAATATCAAAGTCTGTTTTCCTGGCCTTGTCGTTAACTGGCTGTTACCATATGGTTCATTATTTATTTAACACAGAGAAAACATAAAAACACAACTTACATTTAAAACATAGTTTGAATACAGCAGACGTGCACTAAGACAAGCAATAAAAGTCCCAACTGACATGTACAAAGTCAAGCACATGCTGTAGAAAATAGAAAATCAATACAAAAAGTAAGAATATTTCATGGCTCCCAAGTAGCTTATAAAAGATACAGTGTAGTTTGCAACACATACTGTAGTGTGCATGTATAGCATACAAGAAATCAGCATGTGAACTTGTTGACTTTTTACATAAATCATAGACAGAATTTCATCTCCACATTTATGTGCTGGGAAAAGTGCCCAGTGGGGGTCCTTTGTGAAAGATTATTGCAGTGCGATTGATTGCCTCACTTGGGAGCCATAACAAGGCCAGATCATGTGCATCACAAAGTGTATCACAGTAGCAAACGGCTTCAAATGAAATTACCATGCAACATCAATTAAAACATAGTGAAAAAATAACTCCGAGCTTAGAATGTTGTATGTTTATAATAGAAACATCAAGCACACCTTGGGTGTTGTACATGCCCACGGCGGGGTTGTTATAGACTGCCGAGTCCCCCAGGAGAGTGTTATAAGGATGGTTAGTACCATGGGGACGAAGGAGAGCATTAGTTATAAGATGATTAGCCATGGCTCCTGGTACAGGCAGATAGAGAGAGAGAGAGGAAGAGCAACAGCCAAGTCAAGAGAGAAAAAGCAATCGAGGGTAAAAAAGGGAAAGCGGAGAGAGAGGGAGGTTGAAGGAGAGCATGTAGACGGTGCAGAGTGCAGGTAAGCGAGAAGGAAAAGGAGGAAGGGAGAGTAAGATGGAAAGTGAGTGTGTGGAAGAAGGAGGGAGAGAAGAGGACAAGTAAATCAAACAGGCAAATAGTTTGAGGGGAAAGCCAAGAAAAAGCTTGACAAGTAATTCTTGCAGCCACTGCATACAGGCTGAGGGAGGGGACACGAAGGAGAGGCAAAGGGAGAGCATGGCTTGGAGAAGTCTGTGTTGCAGTTCAATACGCTAGAGCAGAGCTGTATGACTACAGGATAGTAAACGGACAAGGGGCCACAAACAAAGTGCATTTTCTTTCCTAGGTGGGAGATAAGTTGGAGGCGACAGTTCCTTTACATTCATTCTCATGGTCTATTTCCCTCTCTATCAAACATATCCAAAAACATGGTAAGAGGGGGAAAAACGTTAACAGTTTATAATGCTAATAGGCACAATGTGTGGTGTCTAGCCTAAATGAATCCAAATCAAATATTAGGTTACCATAGTTTATTTGATATTTGTATAACTTTACTACTATTTCGGAAATTAGTGGCTGGCCAGCAGCCTTAACTTGGTAGACACAATAGAGCTATTTATATTAAGTTATAAACTATAAACCTTCAAAATAGGTTTTTAATCATAGAGAACAATGTACATGAATCCTTACTGACATAATATAAAACAAGGTTAATATATAAGTGTGACCAAAGGGCTAGTTCGCACCCATTGTCTTAACGACTAAAAAGAAACAAAAGTAATAGTATATTTGACATAAATATGTCTGCCAACTTCAAGGTTAAAAAGAACACATTCCTTTTCCATTATACTTTCTCCTGATTTCAACAAGTCAATCTCTAGCTATCAGAATATCCAATTTAATCCTCCCATTCCTTATTCACTAAGCCTCCGTACATAGTCATTTGAAATCTACTTGCTAAGTAGCTCTCTGCACCGTACTTTAAAGTGTGAGCGAAGGAGGGGGGCGGGGGTGTCTTAAGCCCTGCCTCGCTAAGTGTGTGATAATTCAGGCGTTGACACACACCGTGTCTGCTTTAGCATCAATCTGTCATGCTAACAGCTTATTAGTGGCCCGAAGGAAGCGAGGGCCACACCTCAACTTAGAGACTAACAAATGGCAGTGTATGTGTGTACGTCCCAAGAGTGTGTATCAAAATGTCTAGCCATTTGTGTGTCAATGTCCTCATTACCCTAGCCCTCAGACATAGAATCCATTCTCACAGTGACTTTCTCGGGAGGGACAGGAAAGACAGCTACCAATACAGTGGAAATCCAGCAAACTATCCTAATTAACATTTAAAAGCTTAGACACAGTAGCCTTCATATAATGAGATACACTTGTATTACACTTTAAAACTTTGCTCTACTTTACCGAACATTCAAAGTAATGTCTCACAGTACATTTTAGAATCAGTAGCTTCTCCTGAAGTGACACACTACTACATTCTGGTTATAATAAAGCATTAATTTAATGCAACTCTGCATAACTTACAGTACATTAATAAAGGAACCACTGGTGTTCAGCTCTAGTTTAACTTAAAGGATTCATCCCCCATAAATGATTCAAAAATAGACTGTCCTCAGACAAAAAAGTATAGAAGCTTCTGTAGAACAGTAAACTCTGCAAATCTAAAATGGGACAACAGACTGGTTGATGTTTCAGTTTTGACAACAGTCTACTCCCAACTCTCCCCTCCTGTAAAATCATGCTTTGAAGTAGCAAAAAAAAACTAGTAAGTGATATTTACACTCTATTCAGCTAATCTACCTCTCTACAAGAACACAGTTTCTTTTAAGAAGTTTGGACTCCTATCTCTTTACTAAATGACAGCGTATGCTGCCAGAGCCTCCCGCTATTAATAAAATAGATATGGTGACAGTGATGAGGATGCAAATGCTAGGTATCCCGTGGTTACCTCTGTTGAGCGTGGCGGAGCTGTTGATGTCTCCAGTGATGAAGGAAGACTCCTGTTTCCTCACAGTGTCATTCCACATCCGCCTGATACGACTCTATACACAGGAGAAAGGAGTGCAAAAGAAGAGGGAGAGAGGAAAAGGAGGTAGAGAAGGTATGGATAAAGACACATAGGAGTAGCAATAATGAAAGGGAGAAGGAGTAAAAGGAAGGAAGAGGACGGAAGACGTAACAACAAAAGATGGAAACAAATGTGGTAAGAGAAAAGTGATATAAGGAGGAATGGTGTGCAAAAGGAGGGCAAATTAGTGCAGGAGAGGCAATAAAGGAAAAAGCAAAGTTGCGGCCAGCAAGAGGGAAAACAGGTGGGGACAAATAATCACCCGTCAATTATATGTATTCTCATTTACCTTTGTGTCAGCATCAACATTCAAAAGGTGTCAGGGTTTGGGCTATCTCACTTTCCACATTTTGATAGTGTTCTAACTTAATCACAATTTCAGAAGGTTCCCATTAAAAAGTGTATTTGTTTAAATTGCCTATAATGAAATTGAGACTCTGTGCCGAATCTAGTTGTGAAAGTGATCAGCGATAACCCTAAACCCTCATGGCGTGCTCCTGCCTCACCTGAGAGTCTGCTGTGCTGTATCGTCCAGGTGTGCAGGCAGGTAAGCTCACCTGTGAGCCTGTGGAGTAGCGGCCGGGGGTCCTTGAGGTGGTGGTCTTGCTGGAGGAGGAGATTGACGTCTCCACGCTCTTGCCGCTGCAGCAGTGAGTGCGCAGACATTTGCCGTACTCTTTTCGTACCTGGGCAGGGGGAGGCAGAGTGAGTTACACACTGACATACTATGCACATCCATTACATAAAATAGAAAGCACCTATGGAGGAGGAATTGACTGATGTCCCACTTAACTGGCGTATATTGAAGCATATTTTCAAGATGACACACCAGGAAGGAAACAGACGCTTAACTTGATGTAGTGTCCCTGTTAACTTCTTGTACTCAAATTCCTTCCAAACACTTACTCCATACAAATGTAGACATTAACAGATTAACTTCATAAACTTTCCCCCCCATAAACATCCACCCAAAATGTTAACACTGCCACTTTTGAAATGGACATATTCCTGAGGGAGATATATGATGCACTTGCACACACAGAACATCTGCATTTAGATCCCAATCAAGTTAGAACAAATAAGACTGTAATTGCTTTTTAACAAGCTTGTTGGACTGGCAGACGTGTATTGCCACATGCTCTGTTTGAACAGCTGTGTGGTGAGCAGCTCCATGCATCTTGGGAGAGACCATGTTGGGCCGCAGCCAAAGAAAACCTCAGCACTGTTCTGAGGACATCTCTCAGGATACCTGATCCAATGGCCTTACACATACTTAAGTACATTGCACACACAGACACACACACACACACACACACACACACACACACACACACACACACACACACACACACACACACACACACACACACACACACACACACACACACACACACACACACACACACACACACACACACACACACACACACACACACACACACACACACACACACACACACACACACACACACACACCACACACACACACACACACCACACACACACACACACACACACACACACACACACACACACACACACACACACACACACACACACACACACACACACACACACACACACACACACACACACACACACACACACACACACACCACTTGTTTACTGGTTGTAAACTTAAAACTAAAAACTCTGCGGGACTGCAGCCAGACAAGAGTATTAAGCATTTGATGATTTTTCTCTCCATATCCTACTCCTCTGTTGGGCTCCCAGTGTGTGAGAGACTCTGTAAAAATATCCCAGGTTGTATAGGCTTTACTGTACCTGGAAGCCACATTTAAAGAAGACATTTTAAAACTTGATATCAATGTGCCTTTAACCCTCTGGGCAAAACAAACCCAAAACATACACTCTATAAAGAAGGTCATCTTTGGAAGATAAAAGAAGGATTGAAAAGGGGGGGCCGGGGAATCATTTCATGAAATCATTGGAGAGTATCTGTAACCACATCCACTTAGACATCAAAATAGACCTCTATGTGTGTCCTAATGTAAAACAAATGTGAGCAAAATATTATCAAAGTATGAAACCCTGCAGGCTTGATGACCCTGCCTGATGATAAAAACGTTGTTTTTTGCTGGAGTAAGACAGAAACTACACCGTTTGTTACCTGCCACAAGGAGGTAGTCGGTGAGAAAAAGTGAGAAAATTGAGAAGCCAGCAGGGGTTACTAAATGACCAATCAAACCTGTCAAAGCTCTGTGGATATTTGTGGTGTCCCTGTTGATCAATGCTATGTGCCTGTCTGTCTATTTCTGTACAACTTTGTCTCAGTTTGTCTCGCTCACCTTCTTCTGCAGTATGCAGTGAAAGATGAAGATGAACATGCCCTGCAGAGAGTTGAAGATGGTGAAAAGGTAGGCCATGATGACGGTGCTCTCATTGATGTACATCAGGCCGAAAGCCCAGGTCAGGCCCAGCAGACAAAGCAGGGCGATGGCCCCGATCACCCAAGACCTGGAAGCAAAGGGGAGTAATTGAGAGTTAGCTATAAAAGTTAAAATGTCACTCAATGTCATACATTCTTGACATGACCACTTATTCCGTTAAATGTAATGTATACATTACAGGTTTTATTATAAGAAGGATAACAGAATAGGCTTGTCTATTTCCTGGATCAGTAAAAAGCTGTTCAGCCAAGTTTAATACACGTGGGATCATGAGGCAGGAGAAAGGGGTTAGAGAGGGTTCGTTCGGCGTCCCAACACTGTTGGAGTGGGATGGAGAAAACAGTGGGAGGTTTTGCCAAAAAAGAATTACACTCTAACGAAAAGGGTGGGAGAATAGAGAGAAAGTGGATTTGCTCATTTCGATAACGTCTCATGAGAGGAAGGGAGATTGTATGCTAGCTGACGTCAGCAACAAGTACCGAGAAGGTCAAGCACACAGGACTTTGTCCAAGTTACATCCAAACTCCATCACTTAAAGTGCATGGCAGAGGGTAAAATACGTTTTAAATAGCGGAAGTGGTTACTGAAGTCTTTAAGTCCAATTGTGACTATAAGAATTTAATGGAATTAATTTTAATAAAAGTTTAAGGCTATAAACCTACATTTTATATAAAGGGTAAGCAGAAGTGAATCATAAGGCCCACATTTCAGAGGAATGCGGTTGTGTTGAAGCTTGCCTATGCACTGTACGTCCTCATCTGAGCGTGCGAGCCTTGTGGGTGGCTCCACTGGGCAGTAAGTAGAGGGATATTACAGCCATTATAAATGACATTTCCCACTAAAGGTCACACTTTCTGGTCTGCCACAGCTGCGATGATGGCTGTTAATCTGATTGGCTGACTGGACAGTGATCACCTCTAATGCGAGGGACGGAGACAAAGAAAGGTAGAAAGAGAGAGAGAGAGAGAGAGAAAAAAGGTTGAGATATTAGAAGAGTTAGCAGGAAGGAAGAGAGAAAGAGGAGGAGAGTAAGTGAGTGAGACTAAGGTGATTGATTCGATGTTGCCCTCTGTGGCACCATTCAGGCGAGACAGAACCTCCAATAAAGCTCGTCTGACGACCCCCTTCAATAAAGGGTACACTCATCCCTCACTTTTCCATCCCTTCATTCCACCTCTTCCTCCAGGGCTCCCCAGAGTCGTGGTTTCTCTCTCAGCTCTGTTTCCCCTCGTTCACATCTCACCATTATAATATTTCAATAGCACATTAGCACAGGTCTATAGGTCATAGGAGCTCACAAATCACACATCAACATGTAATCCATTTTACAAGGCAGGTTAATGGTTAATTTAGGGATATGGATAGACAAGGCAGGTTCTACAGACAAATAATAAACGACAAGCAAACCAATCAAAATGTCTCTCAGAAGACGAGAGGCATCCTGATTGGAGAGTGGCCTTACCAGAGCCAATCCAAAACAAAGACAACTCATGATGGCTTGGAGTTAGAGACAAAGAAAGCAAAAGAAAGAAAAACAATGAGACACAAAGGGCATGATGATGATGATTAACAAGTAAATGAACCACAAAAGGACATGACCAATGAAGTGAAATATATTAAAATCCATTCAGCTTTTAGTGTGCTCTAAAAGGCGGTGGAAAGTTATTAAAAAGGGAAACAAGATCCAAAAGCATCATATTCTAAATGGTTCTTTGATTTTCATGTTTCATCAGGCTTTTTGATTACGCTCCTCTGAACGGCACAGAAGCAAGTATCAGCTGGTTTCGCTTTATTTCTGAAACGCTTCCCACTTGAAGTCCTACTTAAAAACTGCTGCATGAAAGATACATTGACAGTCATATTTAAATGATAAATCAAATGAGTAAGCCATTTTGTGATTCACATTATACATTCTGAGCTGTGCCTCAGTAAGGCATTGAGCTCAGAGCCATGGAACATTGTTTGAATTAGATTGAGGTTTTTGTCTTGAGCTGTACTGGAATGAGGAATAACACAATCCTGATTAGTTTGCTTTGTAGACAGAGCTTCAGTGTGCAGTGGAAATGAAGTCATATTTTAACATCCTCTAAGGGTGAAATGAGTAATGACATGACTGGGAATAATAATATGATCTATTTAATGAGAAGCATCTTAAAACAATGTATGACAAAAGAGTGCTTCATGTTGCTTTTTATACAAACAAGACATTGGTAGACATTTGGACATACTTAGTGGCTACATTGCTGAGTGTTTCATGAGAAGATAGATCAAGTCTCTTAGGTGAATATGAAGTTGTAACAAAATCTAAAGCTTACTATTAAGACATTATATCTTGTTTGTTTGATCCATTGAAATAAAAGGAAGTGTAAAAACAATAATCTGCTTTTTTTACATTAGGTCGAGGGCAAGACAATTTATCTCCCATCTAAGAAATAGTCGGCTCATAATTCCCTGTAAATCCTCTGCTTGTTGTTTTTGTTTGGATAAAACAAACGAGATAATATGTGTTCATTAGAGAGCGTAAGAGGTGCTGGGAGGATAATTGTATTATCTTCTGACAGAGTTTGGCTAACTGTTTTCCTCTGTTTCACGTCTTTATGCTAAACTAAGCTAACCAGTTGTTAAGTCCTAGCCATCGTCTGATTAAACTCTGGCAGAGAAATCAAATAACTGGATTTCCCAAAATGTTGAATCCCTTTGTTATCCCTTTTACTAAATAAATACGCACACAAATGCATGTATAATCACATCCGCTCATTAAACCCAGGCCTGCTGGTGTGATGGCAGGACTGTATGCATACATGAACTTACTTGATGTTGTCCAGACATCCAGAGTCGGGTTTGAGAATGGCCGTATGATGGAACATCTTGTAAAGAGCGATGCCGAGGAAGATTACATTCAGCTGAAACACACAGACATGCATACAAGTTAATATTCGGCAACAACAGGCCTAATTAAAGACATAATGTCACCGCAACAATTCACTCACACACAGTGTATACTATTTCATTTTTTCTTCCAGCAGTAATTGGCTTGGGGACACAGTATCAGCACATAATCAACAGCTCTTTATGTGCTGAAAACACAGCCGTTTAAGCATCAGGGAATATACAGCCAGTCATTATAACCACCAAGGATCATTGTTACAATAGATATCCAATTCTCATAGATGCTATTGGTCTGCTAATGCATAGATAGGCTGGTTGAATAATGACTGTTGCACCTAGTCTCCAAGGGTTTATATGTTACAATGGGCTTGGAGTCATAACAGAGCAGTCCCACCTGCACAGCTCCCTCTTACAGTTAGTTCAGTGATAGCCTGCCTGACATTTCTAAAATGAGAACAGAGCATCAGTGTACATGCTGACATTCACCTAATTGGGAACATGTCCCATTGCTTTCATTCTCTCTTTCCATAACACTGATATTTCTTTTTCTGTCTTTGTGTCTGGCCAGTTCTGTCTCTGTTTACTCATTCAAGGTTCAAGGACTGTTCCCTCTCCCCAGGAGTAACTGACCGATAAAGCATCATTCATTGACATTTCTCCGTGAAAGGACTAGGGAAGTTGTCCAACTGAGTTCTCCTTGTTGCTGTGTAATGAGCTGTATTGTAATAAAGTAGCTAGGCCAGGAGAAAGTACAGGGCTTGGATCATTAAATAAATGCTTAAGAGCAACATAACTTTGTTGAGTCCTTATCGTAATCTGCAGTTCGTTCTCTACGTCCTTCTGAAGATTTCCAGCTTGTTGGAATGTGTGCCCACTTGAGAGTTAATCCATGAGTGGGAAATTATTAAATTGACATAAAGTTTCTTACGCTTTTACTTCCACCGCAGAGGAGCTCTGGCAAACCTTGTAAGTGTAAGGAAGATTAACGTAAACCTTAATTGAACCCGTCGTTTCTGCACTAACATTTGGCACTCATGTACAGTACATGTAGTGCCATGACAAGTGTGTGTAAGCATGCATGTATGTTCATCTCACCATAATGATGAGCGTAGCAGGGCCTATAAAGCTCCAGATAAAGTATGTGTCCAATCGTAGCCAGCACCTAAAGAGACGGAGATAGACAGAGACAGAGAGTGAGAAAGACGAACAAGGGATAGAAAGAGATAGAGAGATACAAAGAGGGAGACACAGCGAGAGAGAGACATCATGCATGAGAAACAGAGGGAAGAAGAACAGGAGAAGAGAGATGCATTGGGATTAAAAACATGCTCCAGTCTCAAGATGGATGGAGGCTAGCAAGGATTTACCATCAGAGAACAGGACATACATCATAGTTACAAACACACACACACACACACACACACACACACACACACACACACACACACACACACACACACACACACACACACACACACACACACACACACACACACACACACACACACACACACACACACACACACACACACACACACACACACACACACACACACACACACACACCACACACACACACCCAAAGATGGAAGAAAATAGTAAATTACATGACATACAGTATATCAAATGCACCATGATGAGAGAAATAAAGGAATTGGAGGGCGATACAAAAGTGAAAAAGATGAAGAACAGTGAGAAAAGTGTGTCAGGATGAAGGATACACGCTATAAACATACTTCCAACATACATCACACACAGAGGGGGAGACAGCGAGGTATGAGCACCTGTGATTAATTCACCTTCACTTCCCCCTTAGGGCACAGATATATGACACGGCCACATCCTGTGGTCGCAAAAAATATGACATGACTGTGTTCATTTGAATACTGAGTTATGGATGCAGCCCTCATATCAGGCTATTTATGGGGTGTGGGAATGGCTGCGGTGAAGTTAAAGGAGAGAACACACATACACACAGACACAAGACATGCATGAACACATGTACACACACACATCAATTTCTGACACCAAGGTTAGCATTGGTAGTAAAATATAGACTGCTCTATGCTAAATTATACTACCCCAAACATCTTCACTCGTCAATTGCAGCTAACAGGGGCGGGGGGGAATATGTCCCAGAGTGCCCTCCACTGAGGTCAGACCCAACGGGTTGCAGAGAAGGGTACAGAGAAAAACCGCTGGAGCAAAATGGCCGACTGATTCATGACCAGCTGCTTTTGAATTATTAATCTTTCAATTTCCACCACATTAGAGAGCCCTCCATTATGGGTCCCTGACTGTGTCACTGTATCCTCCATTAGGGCTCCTTTGCTAAGTCATTGCCACCTTCATTATTGGAGGTGAATGAGACTCAGTGCCACTGGCTAATGTGGAGAATAAGCTGCGTTATGTGACAAGGTGACACAGCAGGGATGGCAGATGATATTTCCGGAGGTTTTGTCTCAGAGGGTCGTGTCAAACATGATAAGCAGTGCCATTTTCAAGGCTGGACTGATGAATGAGTCATATACGTTATTTTATCTTGATTTAATGTTCTTTGTCATTAAAACAACGGTGTCAATTGCCTTTTAAATCTGCAAGGCACAAGGCCAACAAAACCAAGAGTGATTGCTGAAGTGAAATTGTCTTTTCAACCACAAGAAAATATTTTCTTGTGACATAAATGTTTTAAACTTTCTCTATGTAAGGAAGATATATCTCAAATTTGTATGAAACCTTTGATATTATTCTGTATGTTTGTGTCAAAACATAGCTATCTCCTCAAGGCAAATGTCTTATCTGTTAGCTAATGGCATGAGGCTGATTATTCATCCCGAGCTTGGCATTCAGACTCTCATGTTTTAATGATCACCCCACAATGAAATATTGATTTAAGTGCCATACAGATTGGAGTGGCTTGACGGTTAAACAACGTTAACTTCAACCCTTTTCCCGGTCCTCTAACCTCCTCGATTTGATGTGAAGACAGATGTGAGGTCTTAACTACAAAGGCCCCAAGAGCAGCAAAGAATGTGAGCATCTAAGCATGTGAATCATTTACCAGTTCTATAGTGTCCTGCCATTTTCTATATGGAGCGACTCATTTATAAGCGATTGAGGGAGGAGAAGTTTTTAAATGCAACATCCACATTGTTAATACTCTCTTTAGTCCTTATGATTTTATATAGTAACAAAAAAAGAGGACAGGTCAGTGACATGTATAAAGCACCATATACATTATATGCACATACTATGCATATGTATGAATAAAAGGTTGGCCTACTTTGTGAGTCCATGCATGAATGGAGAGGACAGTTCAAGTCATATTATTTTCCCTTTTCTGTATTTGTAGGGGGCCTATTATGCATGTTTTTAATATGAATGAGATGCTTACTGATTCACCATGTGTCTCAGGTTGGACAAGTCAAGCATGCATCAATACGTTGCCATGTGCTCTTAATGTATGTCCTTGTCCCACTCCCCACTCTGCACTTACTTCAGGGGAGAAGCCAGCTTATTCTTCTAAGCACAAACAAGTACAAAGCAGTATAGACGTGTATACACTCTGAAATATGAGGGGCCGTGTAGGCCAAAATTCAAACTAACCTCGCACACACACTATTGAAATACTCTCACATTCACTACTGAAAACCTTACACACACACACACACTTCAGTTGTATATGCGAGGTGTTCACTAGTGAATGTGAGAGTATTTCAATAGTGTGTGTGTGAGGTTAATTTTCAGTTGTGTGTGTGTGAGGTGTTCTCTAGTGAATGTGAGAATATTTCAATAGTGTGTGTGTGTGTGGTTCATTTTCAGTTGTGTGTGTGTGAGGTTAATTTTGAGTAGTATGTGCGTGATGTTTAATTTTCAGTTGTGTGTGTGTGAGGTGTTCACTAGTGAATGTGAGAGTATTTCAGTAGTGTGTGTGCAAGGCCAGATGTTTTCAGTAGTGTGTGTGCGTGGTTAGTTTGAATTTTGGCCTACACGGCAGAGTCCTGCATCGGGTGACCCGCAAAAAAAGTGATTCGCGGGTGGTATTTTTTCAAACGTTTTTTTCCGGGTTCGGTTCTGGGTAAAACAAAGATGATGCGGGTCGGGTCGCGGGTGTTGCATAATAAATATATAAAAATAATAATAATTTAGTTTAATGTTTAAATCCTCAGACCTCTCCCCCGCGGGACCGCGCATAATCCTAACCTCTGCAGCGCATCAATCTGCTGCTGAGCACACCACATTAGAAATGGCTGAGGTGAAGCTCTCTAGCGGAGAATACAGCATTTTCAATAACACTTCCTCAAGAGCGAAATCCAACGTCTGGGAGGCTTTTGGTGTCATCCTAGATGGAGAAAATAACCAACATCCCACGCTTTTTGAGACAAATATGCAACTGCGTGTGTTAATAATTGCACGTTTTCACTGCTCATAGGATATGCGGGTTCGGGTCGGTTTGCGGATCTTGTGCCGACGGGTCGGGTCGGTTTGCAGAACTAATTGGCAATATGTGCGGGTGGCGGGGCGGGCTCGGTATTGCACGTCGCGGGTGCGGGGTGGGAGCGGGTCTTGAAAATCAGACCCGTGCAGGACTCTGCTACACGTCCCTTCATACTGAAACGCTATTCCATCACTCCCTTCTCACACTCTGACACAAAAACCCCTCCTTTTTCCCTCAATCGGCTCCACTGTGCAGCCACTCCTTCTATCCTGCTTGTAAATCCTTCCATATTCACACATTGTCACTGCTGTGCTCATGCAGGCACTCTGTGGTGCATCTTCCCCTGCTTGTCCCCATACTTCAACACCCCCCTCTCCCTTCTTCTCTGCCTCTCTCCCCTCCCAACCTCTCTGTATTGACTCTTCAGAAGCGCCACAGCTTGTAGAGTCTACTGTGGCAGACGCAGCCAAAATGACAGCAGGCACTCCAGCCTCCCTCCCTTCCTCCCTTCCTCCCTCCCTTCCTCCCTGGCCCAATCATCCATCTTTCCTTCACACCATGCTCTCTTCGCCGCCCCTCTATCCTTACACTCGATCGGTGCCGTAGCTCCTGTAGTCCACTGCAGCGGAGACGGCCACTATGACAGCAGGCACTCCGTAGCCTGCCAGGTAGAAGTATTTAGTCCTGGAGTGTTCACTCTCAAACACCTCTACCAGCATGATGTAGAGCTGCACCCCTTCCAGGAACATCCAGGTGAAGGCTGCCAAAAAGAAGAAATGGAGCAAGGCTGCGAAGACCGCACAGGCAATCTGGTGAGAGAAAGAAAAAGATGGAGAGGATTTAAAAATACAGTGAGCCTACAAACACTAATGCACTATGGACATTTGCACTGATGAGTTTAGAAAGAAACACAAACCCTGAAGGCAATTAGGGTATGAGTCAGACTTCATCATTTATCATATTCACATAAGGAAGAAAATGTGCAGGATTAACAATTGGGCTGCCAATGCTGGAATAGATAGGAGAGGCAGAGGGCAAGTAAAATAGAAAATGGATCTCACAATCATAGTGAACTATAAGAGCAATTACAGGCAACAGACTGACGGAAAATCACTTCAAGACAGCAATATTAGCTGAGCCTCCTTCACATTTTACTCTACATCTGCAAGATATCTAAGAAGATAAATGAGAGAATAGAAGTGACAAGTTGGTGCGGCAGCCTCCGCTGATTGTCCACATTTCATACAGAAATAGCAAAACACTTTCAAAAGAGGCTGAGAGAGAAGGGAGGGGGGGTGAAATGGTGAGAGGGGCGAACAACTTGGCAACATTGTTGAAAATACATTATGATTATGTTCAATGCCAACGAATAACAAAACGAGTCGAACTATGAGACTCAGCCCTTTGGTATGAAAGAGACGAAGCACACATTCAATATCACACATTTTTGGAAAAAGCCAGCAGTAACGTCATTTTAGATTGTTGTGATTTTATGCCACTATTAGAGCTGAATTGCATCTTTGTGCTAAGCTGAACTGAATTTGTTAAGATGACCTACAAAATCAAAACACTGTACAGGTTCTTAATCAAATATCAAATAGAAATAATAACATTTGCTTCGACCTGTACCAATCAGTGGCTTAACGCTCACAATGCAAGTTAAGCACATTTGAATCGCATTTTTGTGGCCAGTGAAAGGTTATGGATGAAAGGAATGTAAAAGAGAGAGGGAGGCAGATGATAAAATACTTAGAAAACACAGTCTCCTGAATTAAAAAGAGAATCAGTAGGGAAATGAAAGAGGGGTATCAAACCTAAAACCACATTAACAATTGAGGCAAGACGATGGGAAGAAAAGAGGGGTGCGCAAGAAAAGAAGTTTAGTGGTTATATCCGGCACGTCACGTTCATTGTATTGTCCTAATCTAAAGAGTTCCTCCTAAATCATTGAATGGGAAAGCTAACAGACAGACTTTTATAATGGAGGGGTTTGCAGCGAGAGACAATTACCTAATGTCTGAGAGACAATGAGTTTAGGGGGCGAGGGAGTCACTCATTTCCATTTCTAATGATTGCACAGTGTAGCTTACTCACACAAAGATACACACATGCAAGCACACACACACAGGTTATAAAAATTGGCTGCTTATGCAAAGTCATTTCGTTTTTTCCTGCTGGAATTACTGGCTTAACCGGCTGCGAGCTAAGTGACGCTGAAGATGTTAATGGAGGTCACAAATAGTCACCAGTAATTAACGGCACACACAAATACGTCGGCACACGTACATACAAAGCAACATGATTCCTGCTCCGACACAAACATACACTGACAAGGAGGAATACAAACACCTCAATGTCAAGGCAAGTAAATTATGTTTTATTATTGAACGCTCAGCAGGATACAAAGGCCTCAGGCTGCTCTAGCCTTCTGGAATACTATGAAGGGGATAAAAGATACAGCCCTGAGCGCTTTCTCCCTCACAGAAAAAATCTCAAGATTCAAAACAGCTCCCAAAGTTAATACAGGCTCCCTAGCACAAATATGCGTAAAATGTCCAAAACTGCATTATGTCATTACATTGCACGGTTAGACAATGACAGCACACATCAAGGTTGCCTGCAGTAAATGTTGATTATATTTGGGTGACCTTGCCCAGAGGAATTAGAGGAGAATCTGACTCGTACGATTTTTGTGTAAGTATTTGCATCCAAGTGAGGTTTAAGGTCCTAATCCATCCATGATTGGCGTATTGAATGCGAACCATATGGATTATACAACAAGGGCTGTGACTAGAATGCAGACCATGTGGACCCTGATAGTCGAGCCAAAACTGAATCATTAGCGATGGCGCTTTATTCCAGTTGGTTCTTTTTCCACATAGCTTTAGATTTTGTTATTGTTCCTCCTCTTCTGCAGTTGTGGGTTGAAAAATCTGAGTGCAGTTCCACATGAGCAGCAGCAGCCATGCATCATTAACCGTAACAAAAAGTCCCAATCTGGTAAGGTCTGGGCAGTGGAAGCGAAAAGTAGAAAGTGAGCAATTAGGTTATAATAGTGCAGTTATTTTAGCCTTTTTCACACAAGCAGCAATGGTAGCAGTGAATGGCACCACTGTTCAAATCATATTGAGTCCACTTGAATCTGTCAAGCTGCTCCTTTGAATAGGGCCTGTAGCAGCTTATAATGTTAAATCTAAAAATAAAAGTTCAAATCGAATAAAGGGGAATAAAGTAATTTTTCAATTTTCAATTTAATTTAAGATCGATAATGTAATTTTGTTGACTGGTTACAACATTAATAGTTGGGTTTAAATTAATATTACAAATAGAAAAAGTGTTGCATAAACAATCTTTACCTGAATGCATAGCTGAAGAATAAGGATCCTTGTATTACTCACTTGACATTTTGATGCACATAATGACACAGAGCCAGTAAAGACTGACACAGTGACCCAGAATAAACCCAGAGCTTTGTCTGAATGTCAACATATATTATCTGACCTGGCCTGGCTACGCTCATAAGCCATTTACAACCTGGTACTGTACATTATATTTAAGTATTTTTCTACTATCCGTTGAATTACTAAACTGTACTACCTGCCTTTATTTATTTTATTATTACATATTGGCAGCATATTTTCCCCAAACATTAATTCTGCTCTTACCGATCTCAGAGGCACTTACACATGATTGACCCCATACAATAGCATCAACTTTTTAGAAGAAGACTACAACAATTTAAATAAGTGACACCACTTTGCCAGCAATTTCAGGATCAATATCTGGAGTAAATATTTCAATAAAATGTCCAACATTCTGTTACCCACACAGGCCTGGATTTAACCAGGGTGATCTAACAGTTTAATAGCGATGTTTGCACACACTATCTTGTGAGAAATATATGAATGGTCAAATCAGGTTGAACCCACATTCAGTATCCTGCCTTACATGGCCTTTGTTTGTGAAAGTATTAGTTTGAAAAAAGAAAAAAACCAAGCCAACAGGATTCCTTAGCAAGAAAGACTGCAGCTTTTGTAGCCTAAGGGAGGAAATGACTAACAAAAGTAACTTTGGACTGAGGCACAGCATAACAAACACAACAAAGCTAAAACACAGCAAACAAATGGGCCTAATAGCCAATAAGAAAGTCTGTGTTATGCACTGTAAATCACCTCTGTTACAACTGGGAACAAAAGAACCAACAGATTAGCTCTTTCTGTACCTACATTTTGTTATATTAAAGTCAACTTGCCATTTAAGAAACATAACAACCTAACTGAGCTATTAGCCTGAAGTTAAAGATGATTTTTGTCTGCTTCCTAACCCTAACCCTTTGTTGGCCATCCTTTCTGAATTAGCCGCAGACTGTAAAACGATTAATCTTGGAAAGGTTCTAATGCTCAGTATAGTAATGATGTTATGAAAACCTAGCAAGTGCAGAACAAAGAATGCCAGTAAATTCATTCCCCATCCCCCCCCCCGTCTCATTTTAAGAGAAAAAAGTGCCACAATCCAGGCTGGTTTGAATACAAATCTATGGTATGTTTAACAGCCAATAAGAGAAATCTCTGCTTTGGATTAGTTCCGGGAATGATGAATGTAACAAATCTGCTGTTCCTTATTCATGTTGCTGCAATGTGGTAAACCACTGACAGCCAGTTATTAAATATTTCACAATTTACTTTGCCAACAATGCGGTATGATCCGTGGTGTCGGTCAGTAGAAAGTTATGCCAAGTCTGTGCCAACACAGCATAAATTAAACATTTTGAAATGTAGCCTGTGTGCCATGTATTTGTTTTTATTTATCGATTTCATTTATTAATGAGCTTATAGTCATACGAATATGCATGCCCACATGCTGTTTTTTGTACACACACACACACACACAGAAAATCTTGGCAGTCTTACCGGTTGATCAGCCCTGTTGATCCCCACCAGGAAGAGTGACTCAGCGATGAAGAGGCTGATGCAGAGGTTCTTGTGGATGGTGTTGCGGTCACTTTGCAGCCCACGGAAGAAGCAAAAGGTGAAGATGCAGATAAGCAGGCAAACCAGCGACAACAGAATCCCCACCCAGGTGATGACGTCCAGGAGCAGGTCGTGCATGCTGTCTGCTTTCTGTGGGAAGTGCAAGAAAAGTGGATTATTTAATAGCCATTTAAAACTACTGTATTTAGTTGTGTATAGCTTTGGCTTTGGTTTGCAAAATAACATACATGAGTCATACTGTAACATGAATCATACTGTATAAAATACACACATCCCCCCTCCCCTGACTGATGTGAGTGGGGCTGTGTGTCGCTGAGCGTTCAGGGCCACAGCGTTACGCTGCGTTGCACAGGTGTGCTGGCTCTATCCATCAGTGTCCTGCGACCTGGCAGCCAGAGCAATGTTCAACATAGCACTGCTGTGATGGATCTACTGCTCAAACCCTCACACTGTGTTCACAAAGGGTTGCCAAGCTAGCTCTGACCATGACCCCTTTAGAAGTAACACACATCCTCTGGCCCAGAGGGAGAGATTGGGTGTCACACAATATCCAGAGTTACAAGAGCCGATTTGTGGTGAAGGAACTTGGTCTTAACGTAACAAAAGAGGGAGACAAAGAGTGCTTATCCCACACACAGCGGGACAATGAGGTTTTTATCCACCGCCCACAGTGACTCATGGATATCAAAATAAATGAGCCCCTTTCACTTTTTGATCTGTGAAATGTAATTTTTACAATAAGAAAGGACCTGCACCTTTTTTAGGTTCAAGTTTCTGTAGTTAATTCAAAAAGCATCTGTTTTGGTAATACAGAACTCCATAGATTGTATTGTTTTCCTTTTTTAATTTTCTGTCAAACTAATGTCATCTGGCCTGACGAATCAATTGTAAAATGTCTCCTGCCAAGTATGATTACTCAGTAGTGGAGAGCTTGCAGAGGGCTAATCTATTTCCCAGATGTTGTGGTCTCCTTCTCTTCCTTCCTTGCCTCTTTTGAGATTCTGTCGACCAGCCTTGCCAGCCACTGCTAATCAAATGATGAACAACTGACCCTTTGATCCTGCCCATCCCCGCTTGGCAGGCACAGCAGAATGAACGCCTACCTTCACCTCAACGTGGGCCATAAGCACTGCAAAGCTGGTGAGGTGTGTGCAGGAGCAGGTGGTGTGTGTGCGATTGGTCGCCAGCAGACGACAGTCCTTGGTAGACCAGATCCCCATCATGGTGCGCTTGGAGTAGCTCCAGAATGAACAGTTGGGATTGAAGTTCTCTTCCGAATGCTAGGGGGAAGGGAGGAGGAGAGAGAGTGAGAGAAAATCCGAGACATGGAGCAAGAAATTGAGACAGAGAGAGAGAGGAACAAAGATGAGAATGGGTAGGGGAGCGGGAAGGCAGAGAACGGACACTTAGTCATGGGGAGGTGGGAGGTAGAAAGATTAAGTGTTGGGAGAGCCAATGGAAGTGAGAAAATGGTGGGAGGGATTGGTGCAGAAAGGGATGGAGAGGAAGGAACACAGAGAGGGAGTCAAGCACACACGACAACAAAACAACAAACAGAAGGGACAGAATGCGAGAGTGCAGCAACAAATAAATAAAGAGCCATGGCAGGAGGCGCTGTGTCCGTGATTGTTGTGTGAGATTGTAAAGTGTATACGCTGCTTGTGTTGTGTCAACGGATGAAGCTTTGTGTGTTGGGTTTGTAAAGTTACTCTTAAAATGAGCAAGTGACACATTGCTGCCAACAAGCTGGATCACCAACTGGATCAACATTTCCTTGTTGAGTGAGCAACACAAGATAAAAGTGTTGCGCTGAGTAGCACAATTTATAAAGTATGAAGCATGGAATCTTTCTCTTATTCAGTCTCTAATTGTTGTCAATACCAGAGGCCTTGCTGTGGTATATTGGGCAAGTCAATCAAGTCAATTATTGTAAAGACATCTCGAAAATCAGTTACAATGATGACCAAGAACTTTAAATACTTAGGCATAATAATGAAATATTCAACTAAGTCAAGCCCACATAAATCAAATCAAAATCAAGTCTCAAATACTCATGTTTGTGTCTCAGGTCTAGAGTCTGTTAAAGGACAGGGTTTACGTTATTTCATTATTCATTGAATTAACCATTCATTATTTTGACTCAGGCTTAGTCTGTTCTAATGAAGTCAAACATATTCAAAAACAATCCACAAATATATGTTTTTTTATTTGTATAAATGCTCAATCATTTTCCTGGACAGCTGGGCTTTGTAGATGTTATCTTATTATTAACAGCTACTTCAGGAGTACATAGTACATTTGCTAGGAACTATTCTAAACTGTGGATTAACAGATATTTAGTGCTCTTTCGAGTATTTATAGCACAAGAACCGTGTGAAATGTAATCATAATAAACTACAGTTCCCATGTTCATTTTAATGAAGAAACATGTCTCCCTGTTCAACTGTGTGGCTCATTAATGTGTTTTATTACGTTTTTGGATGGCAGTGGAAGTCTCTGCCACAGAGGGATAAACTCTTTTAAGCCTGGCTACACACACAATATCAGCCTTATCCTTTATCCTAAAAAAGAAGTCAGCACCTTGCATCGTCCTTACCTGTAGGTGTTTGACAGTGAAGACCACAGGCTCAGACAGGTAAACCTTATTGCTGTCCTTGTTAATGGATGCCGTGATGACCGGGGAGTTGACGATAACGGAGTAATTTGGGTAGACTGCATCGCTGCTCAGTCTGACGCTGGCATTCTCTGTGGAAAGGTAGGCCCCCAAGTTCCTGTACAGCACGAAGGCCATCCTGATCTCCCCTGTAAGAAGACACACGGGAAAATGGAGGAGATGCACTTGATAGCTGTTGGCTTAAACCATAATAAAAATAGGCACTGGATATATAAGAGAACAATTTAATGATGGGAAAAAAATATTGCAAGTGGGTTAAACAGACAGAAATAGAGAGAGGGGGAGAGAAAGACAGCGAGGTCATACACCTCATAATAGTGAGAGTGAGAAAAAGAGATAATGAGAGAGTTCTCTTGTACCGTTTCTGCCGTGTTGTTTGAGAGTGCTGGCTGACAGCTGGATGGAGTTTCCATGTAGTTCTGACTGAGGGAATGTCAGGTCTTCTAGGTTCCCATCCGTGCTCAGCCTGGCCACTTCCAGCTCTGCGTCACACACACACACACGAACACACACACACCCTTATGTCAAGTCACAGCATAGCATGATACATCAGGTTTGTTTGGCAGCCTCTTGTAATAACCATGTTTTCTCACTAAGTGCTTCACACGAGCATGAATCCTGAATCCTTGCTTCGTCTAAACAAAGAAAATGAAAAAAAAGCTGGCAAAATGAAACATCTTGAATTTTCATACTGAAAAAGGCAACAATGTCTCCAGGCAACTGGTCCAACACATCGAGGTAGATAATCCAACCTCTCTGTTGTATTGTGGGAAACTAATTTCACCATCAAGGTTCGTTAGCGCATTCCTGATTACGGCCGTGTAATGTATTAGATAAAGTTTCTAATTAAGGACTAATTATACCTTTGCTGTATCTCTATCTCATGCTTCTGAGTGATTCGGTGATTAAGACACTGCTTTCATGGTGAAAACAGCTCCTTGATCAAATAAACAACACAAGGACGTGCTGGGATGGGAAAGAGAGCGCAGGAGGCGGTGGAGTGGGAGAAGAGGGTGAAATGAAAAGAAAGTTGATGAGGTCAGAGTGAAGTGCTGGAGTAGCTAACAAGGAAAGAGGGTAGTCAGAGAAAGCACGATACATGGGGAATGAGCAGAGACATTTAGAGGAGAGATAGGAGGAAGGAAGTCTATGTTTTCTCACAGAGAACAATAGATAGGGCACAAAGGCAAGAGATGGGGCTGAGGATGGGAGAGAGGAAATGGAGGCAGAGTGAGACATGCAGACATAAACACAGACACTGATATGCAAATATGGCAGAAAGAAATAGAAACACTGGTTAAGTGTCCCTTATTGCACACGAGCCAAACTAAACATTCAAGCTACACATAAATTAGCACACACACCCACACACTGAAGCGCACATACAAACACACGCATCCACACCCACACACAACGACGGGATATCAAAGCACGCTGAGTCTAATCTAATTAAAGCTTGCTTGTAATGACAATCCACCTCCTAAGATACACACTTGTTCATTATCGTTATCACACGTGCACGCTGTGTTATCCTTTCAAATCACTGTTTTGGTTCTAATAATAATACAATTTATTCATACGCCTAATACTGCGCCGCATAGTCACACAAACAATCTAACACAATAATATCACCTACTGTAGCTGCAGGGGCTTCTTTAAAATGTGTCATTCAAATAATTTATTCCTGTCGCTCACTCTCCTTTGAAAGACTTGTTAAAAAAAAAAAAACCCGGGGGTTTAAAAGTGCAATGAGAAGAGGGAGGAACCGGAGAGAGAGAAAAGTGAGGATGAGAGAAAAGAAAGAGATGAGAGGCGGTTATGAATAAAAGGGAGAGATAATCATGGTGGATCTGCCCACTGGATTAGCTGGGAGGGAAGATTAACGGCACAAAAAGGAGAGGAATGCAGAGACCAAATTTCCCACAAAAAATATGATTTCCTGTTTTAACTTTTCAGAGATGTGGTAGCCTACATCTCGATGACTGTTTATGTAACCATATGTATGTGGTGCTTTCAGGAGAGGAGAAGAAATTGGATGAGTTACAAGTCTGAAATTATATAAAGTAAAAAATGTGTAGGATGGCAATGGTTGGGATTGTTTCAGAGAGAGCAAGAGTCATGTTGAAAGCAATGATTTTGTAAAATTTCTCTCTGCTTTCTGTCTCCGGCAAGTCAAATAAATGCTCTAATGATATCCCCGTGTTGTGTGACTTAAATAGATTTGATTTCATTGCTTACTGATGCGAAAGTGAGCAAAGAAAACCCTTAGAGCATCATTTGACATTCCACCACAATCATCACCCTCAAGCATGCACTCATCCACTCTTCTTCTTTACTCATCATCCCCAGCTCCTCCTTCATGACTTTTCATCTCCTCCTGGGTCATATACAAGCCCAGTGAATCCTAGTGATGGGGGGGAATAATTGTAGGAGCTTTTGAAATATCAAATCAAAAAGGAAGTAAACAGGAAGATAATCAAGGGAAACACAAGTGGGTGCAACTCGCTGGTCGGCAGATAAAAAGATGGCTCAGAGATATATCATCAACCAAAGGCGTGAAAAGCAAAGAGGGCTTTTGTTCTTCAGTATTTCTGCCTTATTCTATGGACCAGTGATGAGAGGATTAGTGAGAGAGGCTGAGGAGGGATGGAAGGAGGGGGGAAAGAGAGGAGAGTAGAGCGATGTGCACAACCCCATAATAACTAGCTTTGTTCTGCTTTGTCAATTCTGCCTAAAATTGAAGAAAATACGGGAAAAATAAATAAATAAGTGTTATTGTCTTTGGAAAACAATTCATCCCTGCCTTAGATCCCTAAAGACAGTTAGATGAGCATGGGTCTCTGTGGATGTGACCCTTCAATACCTCTGAAAGGATAACCTGGACCTCTTTAACACGCCTGCTATACATAATAAAACAGGCTCTACATAATAGGGGCGCATAAAGCTGTAAATTAAGTATATTGTACACGTTGTTAGCAGAAATGTTAGCAACATGTACAATTAATAGTTAATAATCTTTGGAAAATACAATCAGAGATATAATTTTTCCCTTATGTTTTTTGCCTCGCTATGTTTATGGAGGTTGACAGGTATAAGGTAGTCATTTGAACATAATGCTTTTTGGAATAGTCATTTGTTCGGTAGCCTACTATTGTAACACAAGGACATGAGTTTACAAATGATTGTTTCAAGTCCAATCACGGAACGACCATCATTTAAGGAGGAGATTTGATTATTGAATTAGTAAAAGTGTTGTGAAATTAGACTCCCTCCAATTTGGTTATATTACGTTTTATCCGGACTCAAAATTAGATACTTCTGTTTAACAGTTGTATTCTGATTCGAGACTGGGATACATGAAATTCAACATGGTTATCTTTGGCATCTGTTGAATGTTAATGAAGGGATAACAGATTTTCTTTTCTGTTTGATGTGTTTACTCATGCACACAAATTATTAATTTGTCAGAATGGTTAATTGAGTAAAACACACAAATACCAGGAAATGTTTTACACTGAGGAGTCAGTCTGAAATTATTCTTGTCAGAAAATGTATCTTAACTAAAACCTACATAGTATGACATAATATACAAACACATCATGTTGTATACAGTATTATAATGATGTTTATTATATTTAAAAAGCAGGGTTTTTACAAAGGTATCGTTGCTGGCAATCCAAGATGTTTAATGGCACCTCTACTACTCTTTATGTCATTTTAAATGAAATACTCTTTGTCATTTATTGCTGTAACCAATACCAATTTATTATGCAGCCAGGCAGTAACTCTCGTAACAGTCAAAGAGGAGAAACAATAGCATTATTCTGCCCTACAAAAGATAACAATAGCCTTTTTTGTTTACGCCGTGTGAAGCTAGATTGTATACTTTGTTTTTGGTCTGTCTTATAAAACATAGATCTGAGCATGTTGCAGAAATGATTTCCTTTAGGACTTTGTACTTAGGTAAAATTCAACAAGATGTAAGATGCTTTTGTTCTAGCCTAGCCATAAATTCAACATTTGAGACACGCCTGCTGCAGCCACACAGTCTTCAACACTTGGTGACTGTGAAGCTTCACCAGTGCAAATGGAGGTTAAGTGCCTTGCTCCAGGGCATCTCAGCAGGCTCTGTGACAGTTGCAGGGTCCAACTGAGTTTTGAAGATAGGGAGGGACAAAATAAAATGTACTCACGGATGTTGTCAGTGGTCTCCTGCACAGTGTCGGTCTTGAGGAGGTTGTCGGCTAACATAAAAGCTCCCGTCTCCACAGTGTCGAGGAGCAGAGTGGCTGAGTGAAGCTGCCCGCTGGTGGGCAGTTCTCTCCAGGCCGCCTGGGCTCGTGGCTGCAGCAAATTATTCACCGTCTCCACCATAGCCTAGGGCAGCAGCAGAAACACGGAGGTCACAAGGAGGAAGCTAATGCTAACACTTTCAGTCACTGAAGGTAATTATGGCAAATCAATCATAGTAAAAAAGTGCATTGCTTCTCCACTGAAGACAGCAGTCAGTGTGATGCAACATTGAGAATGCAGTGGAATTTCATTTATCATGGTGAGAAATCATGACACGCAAAAATAAGATGTAAGCGATGCAAATGTGGCATTCCCATGCAGACGTAACAAAGGCAAAACACAGCTGTTAAATGAAAAATAAATGTCTAAAGTTATGGTCTGCACTTTATAATGTTCATTACCACCTTCTTATTCTTCTATCTTTATAAAAAGAATGTTGTGATTGAAAATCCATCACAGATGTCCTCAAAATCAAGCTAAGCTAATTAGCTGATTGCAATCACCATGTGTCTACACCCCCAAACCTGGCTCATTTCTCTCTCTCTCCCCCCGCCTTCTCCTCTCTTTTTAAGACTAAGCAACAGTCTTATCTTTGAGTTTGAAAACTTGTGATTGAGGGAAAAGATTAACGTTTTATCAGATGTCTGCTGGGTCATATCCAGCCGCGCTGAACGGTTTCGAATCCAAAAATATTACCAAACAGAGAAGAGTTGGCTCACATAGATGAGTCGCTCTCCAGGAAACAATACTTATTTTGTCTCCAACACACATTCCTTTCTGCTCTTAAGAATTCAACAACTCATTTTCAGACATGAACACCCCACATATACACACAGGCACACAGAGACACATCCTAAAAGACCCTGGGAGAGATAAAGAAACTGAGAGAAAATAGAGCTGGTGGGAGAGAAGAAGAAGGGGAGAGCCATGGGAGAGCGATAAAACAGTCCAGTGAGTCCATTGTGACAGGCGTCCGCTGGGAACAAGAGAGGCGGAAAAGCGAATACAGGTGCTATCAAACACACACATCTCACAGTCCCGTCTGTCTCTTTATTTTCTCTTTCGCAGACTGTAAACCACCATTCTGAAAACGCACTCGCATCCCTCACTTATCACTCACATTTTCAATGCTTCTCTCTCTTAAGGAGGGTGGATGGGAAAATGGAAAAGGGAACGCAGGTGCCATTATAAAAGCAAAGGGGGTGTCCAGTGGGGAATTGCAAGGCCAGAGAGGAAGAGTGAAAGACATCAGTTTATTGGCATTCACACATCAACCATCTGACGTCCTTCCTTCTCTTCTCACTCAGTGTTAAGGCCAAGAGGGAGGAAAGAAGGCTGCAACAGCAATTGTCTTTGTTTGCAGTATGTAGAGAAGGAGTAGTAAGTAGAGAAACACTGCAGGTAATGAATCATTCAAGTGTTGATAGCATGTGCTACAAAATGTGCACTTGTCCTCTGGAATTAGAGCTAATCCTACCTGTTTATTTTGGGGGTGTGATATCCAAATGTAGATACAGTGTAGCGCACACAAAAAATGGGTGCTTAGCCAACAAGGTAATATGATAATATGATGTCCTCTTTTAGCGCTAGCAGTTAATTAGGATGCATATTGGATGAGTTTGGGAGGGCAACATGTAAACAAAAACTAATTAATCCACTGCTTCAGTAAACCAGCAGAATAAGCAGGAGTGGATATGAAGCACACCCTTGCATACATACACACCGGCAAATCTGTTTCTGTCTCAGTCATTTAGCTGAGTGTGACGGAAGACTACAAGCTTCAATACGCCTTTCTAATAAATTGTGGTTTATGGAAAATGTAATATTAGGCCAATTATTTGAGCCATTTTCCAGGCAAAACCATATTTTCTGGTTTTTTAATATTCTCTGAAATGTTCTTGACAAGAGAGTAATCGTTTAATCTGGCAAAATGTTGATAATAAAAATAATTATACATTTGATAATACATTTTCATTTGTAACAATTCCAAACATTTGCCATTTCTACATGCTCTTTTTAATGTGGTTGGGTTTTTCAATATTGATCAGATAAAACATGGATTTTCTAGTCTACTAGTTTCTGTTATTTTATATGCAAAACAACATATTAATTCATGATTAAAATAATAATTAGTTGAAGCCCTGAAACAAGCCAACAATTTATTTAGATTATCTGAACGAGGTTAGGTCTGGGCACAGCTGTTTGTGAACAGTGGGCTAAAGGAAAACAAATTAATTAAAAAGAAAACTAAAAAAAAAACATTGTGTCTCCCTTAATTAATGCCGGCCAGTCCACTAAGTGACCCACATCAACAGACACGCAGGTGCTACACAGGTGCTACACAGGTGCTACACAGGTGCATGCTGGGTCTGGCTAGAATGCTAAATGCTAAAATGCTTTCTGGCCCTTGCAGCTAGTATTTTTACATTTTGTCTGGAACTTTTACATCTAGTGAGTTGTGTTAAGGCTTTTTGTTGTTTTTTATTGATACATTTCCAGAGCCTCATCCAGCTCAACATGTTTGAAAGCTTTGAGGCGCACGGTGTGACAGAGAGGCTAAAGTGGACTGGATATACTTTAACATAGCCTGGTGTAGTATGTTTGAGAATAAACGAGCGAGAGAAGTGATACCTGGAGAAAAATAAGTGGGACTTCAAAAGACTCACAGAATGACTTTCCAACATCTGATACATATCCCCAATTCCCCATAAGTGAATGTGTTTCAGTATGAATTGACGCTGTTTGGCATCACAACGCTGTTATGAAAGTTTCTCTGGTATAAAATGGGTGATGTTAGCATAGCAACCAAAGCTAAATCTTGACTAGGGGCCTACTTGTTGTTGCTATCCTATTGTGGCATAAACCGTTTTCTACAGGCACATTTTACCGGCGTATTTTTCATCATGATTCTACTTGTGATAGTCGGACATGACAACCTGTGCAGCCCATGTATTGATTCCATCCGATAGCTGCTATAATACAAAACAAAACGTCTGCCTGCTCTCCACAATGATCAATAACAGCGAACGGATGGTCAAAGTAAGGTACAAATAAACAGAATCACACGAAGCCTGGTTAGTGTTGCCTGACTTTATAAAGTGTGTTTTTTTTACAAGTGTGTGGTTGCGTTCTAGTCACTTTGCTCAGCGCTACTGCTTGTTACAACTTGTATTTGCCGTACTCGCCATAAACTGTTAGCTCAGGTTAATCTCGCCCCCCCTCCAACGTAAGCGTGACGTATGTGGTTCTTGCTTCTAGACCGACAATTTTTTGGTGCTTGGGAAGCACCGGTTTTCGGTGCTTAGAGCCGACTCCGCTGCGGTGTGAACAGGAAACACCGGTGCTTATCAGGCTCTAGCTCCGAACCGGCCCTGGAACCGCGTTGGTGTGAAAGGGGCATCTGATGGTTGTATTTCTCCCGAGACCGTCATGGAAGCTGCGTATGCGTGCTTATGCGTGCGTGAAGTGCGCTATGTGTTATAACCGTCAAGCTCTCTAATAATGTGTTTGTGGCTGCAGCCGCTGTGCTGTTTATATTGTTTATACATCTCTCTGTAGTCTGCCTTGGTTATGTTTTATTCTGCTGTTGATTCTATAAGGAGTGTTGGGTTATTTGATTTCTGTAGCCAGCTTTTTGCACCCGCTGCGGTGTCTTAAATCGTTTTATTTATTGTCATTTTTGTGTTTTTTTCTCTTTCCCGCTTATAGCCCTAATCGATAGTTCAGTTTGACATACAGGTTGTTGAATGTTCTCAACAGAAAGTGAACGTGTTTTATGTTATGGATATAAGAGCTCTGTAGGGATGTTAAGGCTATACTCCACATTGTCATGTTAATGCACTTTATGGTAGAACCATAATATAATTTAATAGTTTTACATAAAACATTATCATATAGATATTCATTTCTACCTCTCCCCCTTTCCTATTCAAAACTTTAATATAGAAATTGTTGCACAGTACATTGTAATTGACCTACTTCTTACTTTTTCTCAGTACAGTTTAAGTCAGCTATTCAACCAGTAACTTTTGGGTAACACTTATTTATTCAGTTAATTTATTTCAAGAAACATAACATTCACTTGAGATAAACAATAATACCCATATTGGCCTACGTTTTCCTCCCCCTACAAAAAACATTTAACCCTGCATGAAAAATGTGAGCAAACTAGTAATCCTTTTACAATTTGCCATTTTCCTCCTAATAGCTTTGTCAGAAGGAGACTTGTTTAAAACCTGAATGATTTCCGACTGCTTGTGTTTCTTGCACTGTTGGACGTCCTAATATTGTAATGTACCCAAATCCCTGTAATTAACTTGATGAGTGCAATTATTAATGAAAATATTGCCAAAACCACAAACATAGTAGTTAGAGAAAACCCGCTTTTCCTATCAACTGCCTGAATTGTGGAAGTAATGCTTTCGTTGTTGTTCTAATGCAGTTTGTGCTTGAACGAGGCCACATGCAGTGACATATAAATGCCATACATTGTTGCCGTGCATTGTTATAGTGTCCGGGATGAAAGTGTGCTTTTATGTGTGATGGCATTAAAATGTGTGTGTTGGAGGGTGTGCACAAGGGGCTGGGAGAAGCATTGCAGTGCATCATTCTGCTCCACTTGCTGTACACTATCAGTGGAGGCAAGAGAGAGAGGGATAGACGAGGGGGGGGGGGGGGTGCTCTGGAGGCAGATATGACAGCAGAAGCACTGCTTTCCATTCGCTCACGATCTTAGTGCTAGTACTCTCACTTTGATGTGTTTCAGATAACCCCCCTTTTCTACTCTCATTAAACTTTTCATTGCTTTTTATTGAACTTTTGATTACCTTGCATTTTCAATTTCATATAATTCTTTCATTGAAATTTAATTCGCTGGCGCTGCGATTGGATCTTTCGAGGAGAGCGATAGGTAAGGAGAAGAAGGGGTGTGACTTCCTTGAGGTCCAGACATCTCCACATCAGAAACTCAAAGATGTAATCAACTTGTTTGCGTGTGTGTGTGTTTCTGTGTGCGTGAGCCTGTAAGCTCTAGTGCCGTTGGTGACATTTCTATCTGCAGAAGTATGAGGACTTGAGGGCTAAAATGGAGACAGGTTTTTTTTTTAGAGGTCTTCAAAGAGGGGAGAGACTCTGCAGAGACAGATAAGGGTGTAGTTGGTGTGCATGTGTGTGTCTATGTATAACAGGGTAGACACACGCGCATGAGTGTACGCGTACCCACGGCACGCAAACACACACTCACATGGCAGTAAATGGGGCAGAAGTGAAATGCTTTGAAGCGTTGGGGTAATCCAGCGTAAACAGCAGCGGCAAGACAGACTAGAGCTGGGCTGTTCTACTACTCCCAGCTACAGAAGGGGAGCATGGGCCCTTGAGCATTTATGTACAGTATGTGTACACACACAGTAAAGACAAACTTCGCAAAATGGCAGAGTTAAAATTGAAAAAGTAAGAAAGGGGCGAGAGAAGAGGAAAGAAAGAATGGATTGTTTTCCTCTTTTATTCGCTTGGCTGAGCTGCGAGAAAGAGCATGTTTTGAAAATGTTTTCATCAGAGAAGCAGGCTTATCTGTCAGTTGTTGTTGGAGTTTGTCTTCCCTGACAGGATGAGTTTGCAGCTAAATCAGGCTTTAAATTCGCAGCATGTCATGTTCTGACCCGCCATCCATAAATAGAGGGCAAATTAGACATTGTCATTGAGCATCACTGTCTCCTCACTAACCTCTTTATTGTTTTTCTTTCTCTCGCATTCCATTTTTTGTTTCTGTGACTCTCCTCTTTCTGTTTAATTCCTCCCCCTCCCCCCTAGTTTACCCCCTTCTCTGTTTCTCAGTCTACCTTGCAGACTCTACCTCCCTCCATCAATCCACCGTACAGCATGAAAGCCTCTCCACACCACCAACTTCATCATGAATAAATTGCCAATTTAGTATACATGAAACGAGTCCCCAGTTCCCCAAACGAAGTGAGAGAGGAGGAGAGATGAAGTGTGAGAGGGAAAGAGAAGGAGAGAGAGACGGAAGAAAAAAGAGAATTCAATTATTTTTTCGTCTCTATTAAGAACCCAAACCTCCTGCCCACTCTCCTCACTTGGCAATTAGTGCTGTAGATAATTAACGAGGAGAGGGCAGCACCACACCACATCCCTAATCACGCACATTTCTATCTGGCAGAGTAAGGGACTGTTGGTATAATTTTGCTTCACATTACTAAGGCTAATTATATAATCGATCACTCCCAGCGCCCTGCCGTATCAAAGGTGTATGGTGAAACGTTTTGATTTTGACCTGTAACTCGAAAGCAGCCACTCCTTGAGATTCAACATGTATTGGTTTAAGGAGGGGCGCATCAAAATGTCTTACCGTCTTGATATGACGGGATGAGATCATTGTTGAAAATAAATAAATATTTGTAGCGTTTGTGTGTGTGTGTGTGTGTGTGTGTGTGTCAGCTTGCATAGTCCTAAGCCATGTTCTATGATGTGACATTGCTGACTGGTGCTGACGTTAAGACTTTTCAGGGGAGAGTGGGGGAAAAAGCCTGCATCAGGAGAAAAAGAGCTAGCCCATCAAGGGTGTGTGTTGTGTGTGTGTGTGTGTAGGAGGATGCAGGGAGGGAAAAAGAGAGACACTGCAGTCTATCTACAGTGCATGGTTGAGGAAGGTGGGGTCTTTTGATGATCTGAATAGTGATTTTAGCTGACCAGAAACATGCCTAAATGATGTTGGCTTTTCCGTTCACGGTGTTAGCCCGCGGCGTCAGCACGAACAAACATCAATGCAAGCAGACCAACAAGGACGCAAATAAATGAACAATGAGCCACAAACAAAAGCCGGTATTCTTTTTTTTAAGTCACTGAAGGCTGTGACCAAGCAATATGCAACAGAGTATCTATCACACTCCATTCTCTCTCTCTGATACAGCAGAGAGAGGGCATTTCAGTGAATGGAGATGGATAGCGAGTCATTTGGTTTCAGGCAGCCCTGTTTACAATTCTGCAGACAAAACCGCACAATAGATGAGCTATTATTGATATTGATCATGGCCTCTTATCAGTGCCATTGATTCTGATAAAAAGTGAAATTGAAAACAACAGAATGCAAACCCTTTGAGGAGACCCAAACTTTTGTTAGCAGTGACCCTGATGCACGCTGTGGTCTCGAGCCGTTTAATGGCAGACCTCCTCAAAGGGTTGGGATGCAAATCATTCAATCAACTGCTGCAGCAGCATAGAATTAACATTCTACGTCGAGCGCTGCAATGTGTAATCACACACAAGCTGAAATTGCGAATTACATGCCGAGTGTAAAGAATGAAAACAAAACATGTGGGTCATATGTAAAGTAATCAACGATACCAGGAAGCTGAAATACCTGTGTGAAAACCCTGCAGGACCTTTCTCTCTTCTGAAGCTGCAAATTCAAACAATTTAGCTGTTAGCGATATACAACACCTCTCAGAAACACACACACACACGCACGCACGCACGCACGCACGCACGCACACACACACACACACACACACACACACACACACACACACACACACACACTTGCGTGAATACAGGCAGTGACACCGACTTCATTAACATTGCACACAATTTCTTTGATGTTGTAATTCTCCTCTCTCGCCCCTTTTTTCATTCATTCTCCCATAACCATCTTTCTACTATTCCTTTCCCTTTTCTTCTTCCAGATCTTTTTTTTATCATTTTATTTTTCCTCTGCTCCCTTTTCCCCTCATTCTCTGCATCTACTGTCAAGTTAATTGATGGCATTAATTACTACGCCGCTCGTGCTTGATCGGTCATATTCGATTTCCTAACACACATTTGCATAATAAGCTGACACATTACTCAATTAGGTATATATAATTGGGCTATTATTGAAAACAAGAGGAATGCTTTTCCTCTTTTATGGAGGACTTTTTTCTACAAGTTCAACCTTTTAACAGGCCATTTGGTCAACAGCAAAGGCAGATTAATCGTTTCACTTACACATGCTCTGGTATGTATGCACTCGACACGTGTTACTGAATAACTTAGAGGGAGCAGAGGAACTGTTTAGTGAATCCACTGAGCCACTGAGCCACAGATGAGAAAAAAACAAATAAGTGATTCTATAAGAGGTGGCAGCATCTGTCAATCTGGCTCCTAAACCCCGCCTATCACTGTTAACCTCAGCAGACCATCAGGAAACAGTCCGCCATCCAGTCAGTTAGTCAATTAGCCAGCCGGGCCAGCCATTCCCCAATGATTTATCTCACTGTAATTGATTGCCTACGTACATGAAACAAAGCACAGAACACAATTCTTTCCTCGTCTACCAGAGATGTGAAAGTCATCTTTTGCATACTCAGGATTGAGTTTCCATTAATGTAATCCAGAAGTAAGCACTCAAGCCCGCTAGTCGACAGTATCTTCATAGCCATAGCTCAAAGGTCTGAAGTTCTTTAAACAATGAGCTATGAAATAAAGTGTGTCCCAAGCCTGTTTTTATCTCAAGTACTGTATGTTTTAATAAGAATATCTCCCAGGGCAAAACAGAGGTTTATTAAATTTCATTCTCTATCTGAGTTGCCAAATACTATAAGTTGTCTTCTATTACCTATAATGTTGAGCAAAACGTGTTATTAAGACCCCTAGAAGAGGATAAAATAATCTCTAAAAGCAGCTATTATTATCTGGAAATGTACATTTCAAACCCCTGAAGATTGATATAAGACAATACCACTAACCACTGACGCTATTTATCTAGGTTTCTGTTCCCTTTTCTGTCCTTCATCCCTCATTCACTTAGTATTATTTCCTTTACCCTGCATTCTTCTCCATATCAGTGCCTGCAAGAAAATCATTCATCTCACTCAACCCTTCACAATACATTAACCTTCAAACGGAGGGTTTCTTGGAGCAGTACCTTGGTGAGGCTGCGGGCTGCGCTGTCCTTGCCCCCGGGGGTGAGGTTCCTGAGCTGTACGTCCAGCAGCTCCACCAGTTGGGCCATGGCCCGCACGGTGGATGGCACGTCGCCAGGACGCAGAAGACCTTTGGTCTGCTCTGCCAGCTCTCTGGCCACGATTGCTGCTGTCTCGCCCGAACGGAGCTGTGAGCCAAACAGTGTGATGGGGCGGGGAGTGGAGAAAAGTCAAAGATTTCGACAGATGGATGAAAGTAAAAAAAAAAGAAAGTCAGATCAGGTGAGAAGGGAAGGGAAAGTTGGGAGCAAAGTTAGTGAGAGTGTGAAGAGGAGGAAGGTGTGGGGGACAAGGGCTCAGAGAAAAAAAGTTAAAATGAAAGGAGGAGAGATGAAGCACAGCGAGGTGAAGGAAAGATGGAGTGAGGAAAGTACATTTAGAGGAATGGGGAAGATGAGAAGAAGAAAGGGGTGGGGGTGCAATAGGGCAAGAGAAGGTCAGTGTTGTTTCCAGCAACTGATAACTCTTAAAAAATAATCTAACAATAATTTACAGACGTTTCCTAATTTAGCACCTCTGCTGAAATGCTGATTTCACAGAGACCATTTCTTCTTGTTTTGTCCTATAAAGAAAACCCTTATAGCCTTGTGGCCCATTTGAGAACATCTACAAGCATCTCGAAGAACACAGTAATGTTTTCCCATGCAAAAGGAATGCTTTCTATGTAAATTAAGCTATTACGATGCATGGTAGCTTATTATGATGAAAGCACAGCGTGAGTGAATGACCTTATTGGACATTTCCATACCCCTACAGCTAAATGAATGCTCTTAGATCTCAACAACAAGTCAGGGTTAACAACTGAAGATGGAAACATGGCTACAATCTTCCCCTGTAGTCAGTGTGTCTTCATGTGTGAGAAATTGCTCAAGGACCATATCCATAACATATAACCTTAGGAGGGCTCGGTGGGAGCTATTGGGGCCAGCAGCGCGGTCTGACTTACTTTCTGCATAATGTGGTTGACCCAGGGCGACGTGCAGTTGCTGAGGTCGGGCCCTTTGGGATCCCAGTAGCCCAAATGGGCCATGCACACGTACGTGGCCACGCCTGTAAAACAAGCAAAAACAAACGGGGTAAGACAGAGCTGACATTCACCAGGAGACCCGAAGACTCTTGAGATGCTTAGGGTTCACTAAAGCAGTGTGTGTCTGTGCGTCTGTGTGTGGATGGATGCCAGGAGGATTGAAGAATCACAGTTGTCATGTGGGCTAATTGATTGAAATAGGAGAACTTCTTCTAAGGAAGTGTTTGTGTGTTGAGAGAAACTTCTGCTGAAATACATTTTCAATTGTATATGTTGTATACGTCTTACTTTTAAGACACCCCATATTCCACATTTTGACCCATTGCATCTACAGTAACTGCTCTCAATTACACTGACGCTGCCGATACCAATACAATGCAATGCAAATGGGTGATCAAGGATTGTCCATTTCTGTAGAAAATGTTTTTCCTCACTGTCAGATATTCCCACTGCCACATTTACATCTTGTTGTTGTGTCCATTGCATATAACCATTTTTCTATTAATTTTCATTTAAAATATGATATCGACAGATTACTTTACGCAATTGAATGATTGTGACTTTTAAAAACAACAAATGTAGACCAATGTACAATTATACAATTCCAGTTACATTTGATGTTTTTTGTTAACACTTTGGTCAAATGTAATTGTCTTTAAATGTGGTCTATACATTTGTGTTGACTTGACTACATTTGTTTATTGGAGATAGTAGCTTGTTACTTTACAGGGTAAGGTTTCACGTGCAAGCACACATGCAGCTCATACAGTGTGATGCACTCTATGAATAACAGGCCAGCAGAATGTGGAGTATATAGACCAGCTACAGCATTTATATACTTTTTTACAGGATGAGACTAAGATCATAAAAGATGCTCTGTTCTGCTGCTTTGACTTTTGAATTTAATAATGGTGGTTATGCTTTTACTTAGGAAAAGGATAAAAAAAAATGTCCACCTTTGCCAATGAAACATGTTTACACTCATAGGAAGAGTTTGCAAAGAAGACAATGGACAAACCTTTAGGACATACTCCTGCCAACCATCTACTAACATCCTAACATGTTAATTCAGCTATACATCCTACTCTCTGCCTTGCAGCCTCTTACCCAGGGTTCCTACAGGGCAGGGCTGCTTGGCTTTCTGGCCTTGCTGCGTCCGGGGCCATGATATCTCGGCTGTCAGCCTTGGACTGCAGAAGTCTTGTGGAGGCAGGGGAGCAGGCTGAGGGGCCGCTGGGGGGACCTGCACCGGGGGAGAGCGCCCTCCTTTCTGGTTGGTGTCGGGAATCTGGTTGGTGTCGGATGCTGAGCCACCGGCGGGAACCGGGATTGGCTGACGAACCGTGGTGGTGGTCCTCCAGCGCTGGCCAGGGGAGGTGGTGAGGAGAGGCCGGGGGGTGGTGAAGTAGGGAGGAGAACGAGTGGTGGTGGTGCGGCTGGTTGATGAAGAGGAGGAACCTCCGCCTACAACTGGACCCCCTCCGCCTCCTCCTCCTCCTCGGTTTGGAGGCATAATGGGAGGTGGGCGATAGTCTGAAGAGAAAGAGAGAGAGTTTAAACTAACATTACATCACCTTGGCTATTGAACAAAGAGCCAGGACCCAATATGTGTTGTGCAGATTTGTAGGTCCCAACACAACTGGAGTCCGGATGTTTTTATGAGCACCTTGTGCGAGGACATGATTCCAAAATGTATTAGATGCTAAAGTAAAAACAACCGAGTTAAAAGAACTGTGATCAAGCGAACTATCTGTGTCAGCTCAACATGTTGTGATTAGTGCCCTGCAAGCGTAAATAGTATTAAAATAACTGACACAAACACATTTGCAGGCACTCATTTACAGTACACAGCACTAAATAGCTGTGACAGGGAGTAGCTCGTGTTTCTGATGACTTCCCTATGTTAGTGTTTCATTCCTCATCATTGTCGCAATATGCCAGATTTCTGTGGGGCTTTTTTTCTTACTTCCAAGTTCAGAATATATTTTCAAACAACAATTTGTGTGCAAACTGGATATGACATATTGTATGAATGCAAAACTTAACAATTGGTTTGTCCTGAAAATGTGTGCAAGGTTTTTTTTAACGTTTCATGCATGATTCATAACACAATGACATCACTCAAGGCAGAAAGGTCACTTAGATGCATATGACACGCTCTTTTATTGTCAATATTTCATTGTAAAAATACTCAATTATTCAGACTGACCCTGTTCAGGGGACAGAAATAAAGAATAGATGGATTAGGGGGCCATGAAGAGAGGAATAGAGCATGTGCATGCAGTGTTAACGTCCTCTTGTTAAAATACTTCACCAGGGTATCTCACTTCATCTGCTTCCCTCCTGTGGCTTTCAACTGCACATGCTACAAATCAATATTGAAGGAATCGAAAGTTGAGTAGAGGGAAATAATTATTTACAGCTTTCTGTCACTTTCCCTTTGAATCATTTTTTTCGGTCTCCAATAATTTGGAAGTCATTATGTGTAATATTGAATTCAGTTGGGGCCCATTTGAATAGTCACCTTTTTACTTGGAGACATTCTTTAACAAAGCAGGGAATAGCTTTGTCCCTCACTGTGAACACTTTAATTATCCAGCTGAGATTGCCTTAAATTAGGTTGGGATAAACGATCTCCAAGAATATTTGGAGGAATTTGTTATCAAAGAAGAAAACATACATCCTGTGTATGTCCGAACCTGCAGAGCTTCCACATCATGTGACTATTATAATAACTCTACACTTTATTTTAGACTTTATTTTTGACTTCATATTCCTATTTAAAAACCCATAACATGTGGATTCCTGAGGTACGGATACAGGCAACAAGCAAACAGAAAAACAGACAGAGGCCCTAGATCACAAAGCAGCTTAAAGCTGAATTGTCACAGTGTCATGTAATGTCACCTTGACAAGATACATTTTGGATTTATAGAATGGACATATTTTCTACACACTGTAAGAACAGGGACGACTGAACCTGGTTGAACTCTCCTAAAAAGATTTTCCCCACCATCTCCATGCCGACCAGAAAATATCAACAAGATTTATTTTTATTCTGAAAAGTGTGAAGTACACCAACATCATGCTACATGATTTCTGGGTGATGGGGTCCTCTGGGTGTTCAAGCTATCATTTGCTGCCAGGTGGGGTAGCGAAAGTGTGAAGTTGCCTTGTGTGACTTTCCTCAAGTCTGCCATGATGTTAACATTCTTGATTATATGATTTTCTGCACAAATGGAAAGCACAGGCGCTTGTGTTTCTCTGTCTAAGGGGTTGGTGTGCCTAAGGCCATAATATGTACTACATGCGGGTCCCTGACATTGAAGGGTTATAGAATTTGTCGTCTCAATGAGGCCGTGTGATTTGCACAGGAAAGGACTGTGATACTGCAGGCTGTATTTGTTACTGCTATGTTGTTGTTTTCTTAGTCTACTGCATATTGACTGCCTAATTTGGGGATGTGCTGGGCACAAAATGAGTTAACTGCAGTATTTTTGGAAAACGTTGTCATTTTGTGATGCTTTTTTGTTCGTTTGGGGATGAAAAGAATGTGTCAATGTGTGGAGAATTAAGACGTGTGGGTTTTAGTAAAGAGTGGCAGTGTTTATATTATTTACTGTGAGCTGAAGTCGATTTGCAGTTTAATCAAAGCGCAGTACCTCTCTCTGTCTCCCTCTGTCTCTCTCTGTCTCCCTCTCCCTGCCTGTCTGTCTGTCTGATTGACTGACAGCCATGAAACATCCCGCTCCTCCTGTACGTTCTGTTCTCTTCCTCCACAACTCAATGGAGTGTTTCCGTACCTAAACTGTGCTGCTCCTCATTCCTGAATCACTGCCGCCCTGCCTCATGCATTCTCCACGGAACATTGCCATCAATCATGCGTAGCGGCAGTGGCCTAGGGACTAGCTGTCAATCTGCGTGTGTGTACACTTATGAAGCGGAGAGTGAGTCGGTGTGTGTGTGTGTGTGTGTGTGTGTGTGTGTGTGTGTGTGTGTGTGTGTGTGTGTCTATCTGCACTCAAACGGGAAGCTCCATTAGGGCCTCTGCCACAACAATAGAAGAGTAATGGTGTGTGTGTGTGTGTGTGTGTGTGTGTGTGTGTGTGTGTGTGTGTGTGTGTGTGTGTGTGTGTGTGTGTGTGTGTGTGTGTGTGTGTGTGTGTGTGTGTGTGTGTGTGTGTGTGTGTGTGTGTGTGTGTGTGTGTGTGTGTGTGTGTGTGTGTGTGTGTGTGTGTCTGAGGCTGATGTCTGCTGTCATTTACTGTAAGTACAGGGCAGGAGACACAGGGGCGGGCAGCTTGAGGTGAGGTAACACATGCAAGCATCACAGGCAGCGGGCCACACCACCTCACACACCATGAAGCTCCATCCCTTCTCCTTCCTCCGCTGTCTCCTAGACATTTACCGTCTGATTGGATGACTCACACATACATTTATTTCGCCTTTTTGCCACACTTTTATTCAACCCATTTTCATTTCTAGATTTCTCAGCACTCTCTTTCAAGTGTGCTCGCCCGTGTCTTTACTCTGTCCTCCTTGCTTGTTATTTTCACGGCATTAAGATGGGGTGGGGGGAGGTCTTGCAATGTGATGAATTCATCACTGGCATGACTGAAGATGCTGTGGAAGATGCTGTAGGGAACTACCCGGAACATGACATAACTGCCTTATGAAACATTTATTGAGAAGAAAGGCTAGAGGTTGTACTCATGGGGACTGATGTATCTCACCGCGTTTAAGCTTAGGAAGCCTTGACTAAATGCGCCGTGACAACTTCAGGATGTCAGCTAACCTAAACGTTGTGCGCTTCGTTGGGGCTGATGTCAAAAGAACAAGCATGTGACAGAACCAAAATACAGTTACAAATTCAGTTAAGATGTGTTCCTATAAATGGCGGACCTGCCCATGCCTGACACATTTTGACAGTAGAAAAGCTCAGTTATGATAATACATTGCCTCTGCATTTCACTTGTATATGATACAACTGGCTAGATATTCACCCTGCGCTTGAGGGTGAATCCTCTTACAGCATCAACTGCTTGAACTTAATAACACAATGTTATGTAGGTCTATGCAAAATAGATTAATCATTATTATACACAGATGACATTTAGGTGATTTGATGCTGGAAATGCAATCATTGAATAAATGACTTTAGGTATATTAACCATCTTTTAAAATGTTTTAATAAAGGAATTGCGTACATGTAAGAGGAGATCATTTTTTATTAACTAAATAATGAAGAACAAAAACAAATTGTTATTTTCTTAAACTGTGGTCAACAAGGTATTTACAATTTTCGTGGAAAAACTCTTTTTAACAATATGATGATTTTATAAGAAACATAATTATATCTGCTAAGGAAGGAGTTTGATACAACTGAATGGACTTTAATGGTAATGATTAATGGACACTGTGTTGAGATTGATTTGCCATTTACAAGGTCAAGAATCAACCTTCTGTTTTTTAATTTTTTGCTGCCATGGAATCAAGTCCTTTTTCAAAAGTGCTCAGTCAAAAAAAGCCAGTTTAAACTTCTACTCTTCCATAATGAATGGCCTACTCCATATGGTGAGGTAAATTGTTTGGTGCAGATTGAAAGCTCTGGAACAATTGGGGAGATATTTTATTGTGTTCTATGTGCTATTCTGTTTGTTTTCCTGACCTGTAGCAAGCCCAGGGGAAGGTGAGACAATGGCAGGCTGGCAGTAAAATTGTTCCTGGAGTTGTCTATCTGTCACCACACTGGAGGGGCCATAGAGATGCTGTCAGTCAGCCTGGGATGCTGTGGCACATGATCATCTGACATGCAGACAGATGTGTGCATGTGTGACTGTGTGTGGCGATGTTTTTCTGTGTGGGTGCGACTGCCTGTCTCTGCCTCTGCGTTGTTGCCGAGAATGCTCTTGTTGACTTCTCACTCGGTAAACAGAGGGATCGTAAATCCACAACACAAAAGGTAGACGGCAGAGAGGAGAGGGAAAAATGAACTTCCTCTGGCAAGTTTCCCACAACATCAGAGAAGCGGCAGACGGCGTGTGAGAGAGGGCGGGGGGGGGGGGGGGGGAAAGCTGAAGCTAAGAGAAAAGGGATTTAAATTAAGACAGAAGTTTCAGAGAACTGAGAAGTGTCTATAACACTCATATGGGCTTCTTAATATGCAAGATGATTAGTTTCTTAGAGTTTCCTTCAAAGTTAATGCCTCCACAAACACGCCATGCTGAACAGTATGAAGGGATGGATCCAGAGGGGTAACAGCAAAATGATAATCTGACTGAAGGGCACAAAGCTTTCTAGGCTGGGTAGAAGCACAGACATTGAATACGGCTGCATACTGCGATAACTCACTGCCCCTATGGCTGAAGTGCACACACACAAACGTACACACACTCCCCTGTACAGACACTTCACTTTTCACTGAGTTGTGCGCTAAGCCACACACACAAATGCATGCAGATACACACTTGAGCAGAAATTTACTTTTCACTCACTTGCTATAGACACACTCGTACGCACACAGAGCTTGCGGC